TATGTTTCATGGTGCTGGTGGTCTTTACTTCAAACCTTGTTTTTATTGTGTTCATCTGTAGACTTCAGGTGAAGAGTGGAGGTTCAGAAAAGGTTCCCGGCTCTGTCCACAGGAGTTCGGCCTGGCTCAGACTGGCATGGCAAATATGTAGAGAATGTGACTGGCTGTTGCAAACTAATTCAAATGCTCACAGTATCTTAAGTATATACAGAAGTGCGAAAAAAAGCCGCCTTACCAAGTTCATTATTGTGACCTTCACCAAAGTTCGAGGCTTATCACTGAACCAGAAGAGGGACGCTAAGTTGAGCCCCGTTGTTCTGACTTTACTTAACTCACAGAGGCTTGTAGTTCAGAAAGAAGCCCGCTTCAAACCCTGGCAACTGGCTGCTTCATTTAAAGATGGGGAGCCATTGTTCCCATAGCAGCTGTTGGTGTGTGTGTGATCGGCTCTGTATTGCCTCCAGACAATGGCTTGTTGACAGCTGTCCTGATGCACCTCCCCGTCACACACACACTTCTGCCACTCTTTTCACGGGCCTTCTACTGACTGAATATGAAGTGTCAGTTTTATTGTGTGTTTGTCTGCGGGGAGATGGGTGACTGAGGGTGATTGTTCAGATCCGTCTGTGCCGGCAGCCAATAAACTTGTGAGATGGAGAAGGCTTTTAGCGGGTGATTGGCTGCAGTCTTTAAGAAAGGGGAGGGTTCATGGGTGGACGTGTCTTTGTGCCGTTTGGCTGTGTTACAGTACTAAAAGTGTCTGAAGAAGACACTTGCTTGTGTTTTAAGGTAAATGTTTTATTGACTGTTCATTTGAGTTCCTTATTGATCTGTCCTGACTGATGTGTCTCTCTTTTCCACAGGAAGTCCAAATGTCAGGGAAGTAGAGCTCCTCTGAGATGCTTAGGTTACATCTCAATTTCTGCACAACCGGGAGATTTATTTCAGGGTGGCCAAAGAAAAAGCTGTGAACAGAGAGCGCACAAGGACAGGTACGACTACTGGTTTTACAAAATGCCTTTGGAGACTCTCCAACACCCAGTGAGACAACCGGCAAGGACCGCTGAAGCTGCTACACCCCCACGCTTGCGGCTGAAGGGGCCAGTGGGGCCGGACTTCTACCGGCAGTTCAAGACGGTGGCAGGCGGACCAAAGCAGAGTGCGGTGGAGAGGCTGGAAGCAGACAAGGCTAAATATGTCAAGAGTCAGGTGGCTCTTTCTAAACAGCAGCCGGTCAGGCCTCCTGAGGTGCGTACGCCTCTGCTGAACCCCGGCACCGCTCTGCGGCCCACCAGGAAGACCCCCACCCAGACGAAAAAAAAGCAGGAAGAAGTCCAGCTCGACTTGGAGCATCTGAGTAACCTGATCAATGGTGTAAATGATGGTGCCACCGCTAACTCAGAGGACAGTAAAGCTCTGGACGGTGCTGACATGTCGCACAGCTCCCCTTGCCCCGCACCTGCAGGGGCACAACGGAAAAAGGAAAGGCCGTGTCCACCCCCTCGTCCGGACTGGTCCAGTCCAGCTAAGGTGAGATTAAAAGCCTCTGGACCTCCCAAGGAGGAGAGTCCCGGCTCTTCTGGGTTTCCAGCTGCCAGGACCGTACGAAGAGTGGACGTCATGCCTCAGGCCAGCCCCGTGAGGACGCCCCGCAGACCACCTCAGTTCATCCGGCAGCCCCTTCAGCTCATACCTTTACCCTCAAAGTTTCCGCTCCGCCCGGCTACTTCACACCTGCGTCTCTTCCACACCCGGACAATACTACATCCTTCCCCTCTGAAACCTGTTGTTGCTCAGTCTAAACCTGACCTTCCTCCCTCCTCTCCAGCTGGAACCCTCGTCCCTGCTCCACCTACCCCTAGCCTCCCTGTTTTCCCTCCTCCCTCCCCAGCGATTACCCGTTTGTCCTCCTCCAGCTCCAGGAAGCGTCCCTCTCTGATCCGGTCTAAGTCGGACATGAGTGACCGGTGCTCCCGAGCCGGGACAGACCTGGAGCGCTTCTTCAACCTGTGTGGGTTGGACCCTGCAGACCTCCAGTTGACTGGATCTAGCTCTGACATCGTCTCCATGGCCCGCTTCCGCAGCGTGAGCGCTCCAGGGTCCGAATGTGCGGGCTCTGGTGAGGAAGAGGAGGAGGAGGAGGAGGAGGATGAGGATGCTTGCAACGCTGCAGAGCGTGTTCCCTACGGTGTTTCTGTCATTGAGCGCAATGCAAGAGTAATCAAATGGCTGTATGGAATCCGTCAGGTCAAAGACAATGCAAGTAAGAGCACAAATTTATAAGATGGTGGAAAATGTCTAAGATTTAAAAGAAGGAAAAAAAAAAATGTCAAAATTGCATAACACAAGGAGTGATGAGATGTCATGATTAAACTGATGTGATGGAAACAATTTGTCTGCCAATCAATTCATTTCCCTTTTATTCCCATGTTTTTGTTTTCTATTTTACAAAATTAGAAATGTTATGACATTTCTGTTATTGAAAAACAGAAGAGAAATTGAAAAACAGTTTTTTTTTTTTTTGTGGGTCTCATATAATGGGGAAGTCAGAGTGTCATCTCTGGTCACGATCAGGTAAATGAACAGCATTTAAACACTAAATGATGGAAGCATCTTCTTTGGTGCTCTGTGACTTACTTTCAGAGAACCACAGAGTTTTAACCCAACAGTGACACATTTCTCCTGAGAGGGATCAGAGCACAAACTCTCTTATAACTCCATAAAAACAAAGAGTCTAGGTCCATATTACAAGTCAGTATAAACGTATGGGATGTGTGAAATTGCTTTTGCTTTCTCTTTTGTTAATCATGAAATTTTCAGGGAGAGGAGAACAGGATCAACAGGCTTCATGGAGAGTTTCACTGCTGTTCCACAAGAGGTCAGAGCAGTCCTTACTGAGAGTGATAGTCCAATTAAAACCGTGGCCTTTATGCCTCAATCTCAGAAGTAGGAACTGCTACTTAGAAAATAGTAAAACTTCAATTTTTAAAATGAGTTTTGTTCAATTTTGCCCCTTGTCAAATTCTTAGAAAGAGATCCAAATGTTGCCTTCAGGAACATCAAGGAGAGCAGAGTTTGTCTGATTCCAGTTTGCTGCATCTTACCTGTAGAACCAGTAGGAGGTATTTTGATTTTATCTTTAAAGGATATACATACATGGCATTTAAAACCTGCAGCCAAACTCCATTAAAAAAGTCTAACAAATAGGTAAAATTATGATCATTATTCCTCACTAATAAATCATGTTTTGTCAAGGAACAGACGCATAATAATCTTTGTTGTTGAGCCAGTTCATTCATTCTTATTGTCCGATACGAGCAGGTGGGCTGGATGACAGCGCCACACTTTCAAAGACGAAGGAGTTGCTCAACCAGATTTCAGTGTGAAACAAGTGGGACTTGAATACAGATGTGTGTGGGAGGAGAGAGCTACTGTAACTGTCGGTCTGCATGTGGAATTATTCGTATTCACTTCAAAGGATGAGTTGTCTTGATACTTTTGCGAATAAAGTACAGGCCTTAAAGAGTCGGTTATTAAAACGGACCACAGATAGAAACTCATGCAGCGAAGGTCAGCAGAGGGTAAGTTTCCCAAATTAAATATCTTTAAATATCTTACCAAGTATCCTCTCGTTTTTTCCCTACTTTTGCATTCATATTCAAAATAGGCAAATAGACTTTGTAGGTGTCTTTTGTAACACTTCAGCTAACATTATTATTTCATGTATTGCTCTCTCGGATGTGACCTACAGATGATGGTGTTTTTAAATTCAACCATCTCAGCAATATGTTTTCTGGATTGATGCATTGTTAGAAGCAAAAGCCTGATTGGAGATTAAACCAAACAAAAAGCTAAATGTTTCCATTGATGCTATTTGAAAAACAAAAGGCCTGCTCCAGGAGGATTTCTCCTCTCAAAACTCTTCAGACAATAAAAGTTGAAAACCATTGACATTATTTACATGGGGTCATATAGACTTAAATCCACATCCCCTATTGTGATATTCTTCCGTATTCCATACTTCATACTACAGAATATTCTTGTTTGGTTTGAAACACTGCGAACCAACCTGGTGTGTTGTCTCTTTTCACGTAACTTCATGCTGATTATAGAGGCAAACGTTTTGTATGTCTGCAGCTTTTCGCAGTGTAACTGAACCGACACAAGAGAATAAACAGATTTCTCTTCAGAGGGAAAAAGATTGAGACTATTGTGAGCAGAAGAAATCTCAGTTCAAATCTGAATTTTAAACGTTTTGCAACCCACGCTCTCGTTGTGTGACAAGAGTGTGAACAGAACTGTGTATTCACAAAACGGCTAAATGTTTGAACTGATTTTTTATTCTTTTTAAATAGACAACAGAAACATTTCCCTCCACCTTCCTGTCTGTTCTTCACTCTGGTCTTCACAGGGGTCGGGGGGGATTCCTCTGGCCAGGAAGGTGTGTTATGCTGTGGGTGAGGTCCCTAATCAGATTACTACAGCTGCTTTAGATATTTCCCTGCAGATTTTTCTCCTGGATGTTGTGCAGGTACGAGTTAAAATTATCTGTATTCCTTACGATATATGTGCTTATCTTAATTTCAAAATAAAATACCTCAGTATTTCTACAGATGGAGGCTTCTTATGTCTCCATGATTCAATTCGTGAGTCGGGCCTGGGATGCTGTGACCGAACCTCTGGTTGGATATCTGGTGAGCTGCAGTAACTGGACACCCATCGGAAAACTCACACCATGGTTGGTTGGCGAAGCCGCATGTTTAACACACTTCATATTGAATTAGGCTACGATTCATCTGCAGGCGCTGTACTCAACAGAGCCAACAATGTTCATCCCACAGGCTGATCCTCTCAACTCCGTTTGGCATCCTGTTCTATCTGCTGCTGTGGTTTGTGCCACATGGTTCAATGTCTCAGGGTCTCAGCGTGCTGTGGTTGCTCATAGCGGTCTGCCTGTTCGAGACCCTCATGAGTGTAAGTCAGTGTGTTACAGGCACTTATCGCTCAGTAACACTTGCACCACACTTGTATATTTTCATTTTATTCTATATTTATACGTCATTAAATCTCAGAGGGAATTTTTCTACCTTTGACTCCAGCTGCAGTTTTTAGTTGCTTTTCAAATGAAGATTTTACAATAAAAAAAGACCTATAATAGCCTTATAACGTACAATAAAAATGACAAAAAGATGTCTAGTAGGGGCCTCTTGTCACAGGTTACAGATGAGTTGTTAGCAGTTCCACCAAAGAATGATTTTCCCTCTTAGCTTCTCAGATGGTTTTCAATAGTCCTATATTGTAAAAAAGTGAGATTCTCATATTGTTTCTTTTTTAGGTCTAAGTGCTATATAAATACTATGAAAGTATCAAAACGCTAAATCCATGGAGAACTGTTGAACCACTTATTTCCCCGCTGCTTGTACACATTTCTTAATCATCTATCCACCATCTTGTGCTTCGGGAAACTTCCTCCCTCTTCATCTTCCTCCTGTCACCATGGTGACAGAATGTCCTACCAGTCTCATGACACTGTTGCCGCTTTGCTCCAAGCTGTGTCACCATGGCTACTGAGTTTCACACGCCTCATGTGCTGTCAGTTGGTATCATGTTGTCTTCTGATGTCCATGAACAGTGCTACAACGTTCCCTACCTCTCGCTCAACATGTTCCTAGGGGGAGATCACAGAGACAGGGACTCTGCCACGGCCTACAGTAAGAGTACCAATACTCACGATCATCTCAGATGCTTATTCCCAGGTCGAACAACATGTAGACCAGGATTGTAGACCTCAGATTCATCACAATACTGTACAAATTCAAGATACTTGTATTTTCCTTTTATGCAGCTTTATGATTGTACTCCACCACATTTCAGAAGCATTTCTGTAGCTTGAACTACCCAACAGCATATAAAGTAGTTAAAAGCACATCCACAGCAGTCAAATGCAACATACACATCAATGCAGCAGTAATAGTAATCTAAAAACATAATATAAAAAACAGTGACAGGAATAATTTACTGCAGAATGAGTACTTCTACTTTAGCAGTAATTTCTGCTGATGCTTTTACTTGAGTAAGGTCTGGAATACAGGACTTGTAGTGGAGTATTTTCCCTGTAGCCACCTTGACTTAAGTAAAGGATCTGAATATTTTACTGCTTCCACGACTGCACTTCTTGTCCCCTTCTCTGACCTTCTTTGGCAGGAATGTGTGTGAAGATGGTGGCCAGGCTGTTGGCTTCTGTAATGCAGGGTCAAGTTATAGCGGTGTACAACAAAGAAAAGCAAGAGAGCTGTGAACATCTGGGCCAGGCTCATGAAACAATACCCCAGAGCACATCTTCCCCACAAACTGCATCACTTCAGGAAACGGTAGATGAAATGTGAAAATAAAAGTGGTCACTCTGAGATAACACTCATATTTCTGTAGCAGCCCAGCAGCATTGCATTGACATTGTACTCTCGTAGTCCCAGGAGTATCTTGTTACCCTGTAATCAGCACAACATAGGCCTTGTTGTGTATTCTCTGTGTGCGCGTGTTCCCTTTCTTTCATGTAAGTCTAGAGTTAATGTTTCATGAGAAAATACAAACACTCTCGTATTTGTACATTGAATATAAAGCTGGAGCCAGTGACAATTAAGTTAGCGTATCCTAGCATAAAACTACGCTAACTAGCTCGCCTGGCTCTGCCCGTTGGTAAGAAATCCGCCATTTGCACCATTAACCACCACTCAATAATTAAGTACTAGTAGGTTGATTTTATCACCTAAAAAAGTCCGGCTAGCTACTTTCCACCAGTTTTTATGCTAATAAGCTGGAGCCAGTGAAAATTTGTGTGAACTAGCATAAAAGCAAGGTAGCTAGCCGGACTATGCCTGTTGGCAATAAAATCCACATTAGAGCAATATTAACCTCACTAATTAAGACATTATATTTTTCTTATTTATTTTTTTTTACAAAAAGGAGTTTGCTGATTCAGGCTAGCAGAGTCAGGCTAGCTGCTTTCCCATTTCTTTGCTAATAAGCTAACCGTCTCGAGCACGTGCTTCATATTTAACGTTAATGAACGGATGAGTGGCAGGAATCTTATCATCTAGGTCAGCTAAATCTCGGCAAAAGGGAACACTGTGCATATTTAAGGTTTATCATCTTTAAACTGATAATAATAATAATGCGATAAAACAATTCTTAAAAGTGGAATAACTGGTCCTTGTCATGATCCTAAGGCAAAGTAATAACGGAATAACACACATTTTAAGCAGTAAGTTTATGTGTGTTTGTATGCCTCAAGGGGGGTTGTTTATTTGCAGCATAATATTGTGCTTTATTTATATTTAATTGTTTCATTTGTGCATTTTTCTCCCCAGCAAAAGACTTTCCTGACCTCAGCTCTGATCATCGGTGGCTTGTTTTTCCTCAGCAGCCTGGTTCTCTTCCTGGGGGTGACGGAGCAGCGGGGTGAGTCATTCAATGTTTAATGCTCAAATACTGAATATATACATTTATATATATTTATATATAGATAGTAATTGATCAATTTAGATATATAGATACATAGGAACAAGGAAGAAATGTCCATAGAAGCAATGGCTAAAGGAGACGAAGACAAATCCAGGAACTGGAGGAGAAACTAAGACTGGTCATAAAACGATGTAACAAATACAAGAGGAGATAATTCTGTTTCACAAAACAACAGCAATCAGCAAATTCTCAAAATTCTGAGAGTCCTGGGAGTCAAGCCACAAGAGTGGAAAGCAATCACCGCACAGAAGGCCAAGAAGCGGAGAAGGGTTACTTTGTGACTTATTGCACAACCTTCATGTGAAGTTTGTAGCTGAGCATAGGGTTGTTTCTTATGCAGACACAGACCAAATGAGCAGGACAGAGAGGCATGCCAGTGTAGGACTCGTGAAAATCTGACACACTGTACAAACATGGTCTCGCAGATTCAAAAACAGTGTGGACAACATGGCCGACAACACTGTTTGCAACTTCAAAACAAGTTACATAGAATTTTTAATATAAATTTTTTGAAACATGAATTGAAATTAGATGAAAAATACTGTCTTATGTCAAGAATGTCATTGTTGTTATATTGCATCACTGGTACATGTGTTTTCAGTGATGTGATATTATAGATGTATTTCATTTCTAGCAATCTTTTGTGTGTTGATTGGTGATGCAATGATACGTTGGGGGGGGGGGGGGGGGTTTTTTTTATCATTCCATTACTCTGCTAAATGTTCAGGTTGTTATGAAAAAAACGATTTTTAATGTTGTTTACATTCTAGGTAACACCAATGACAAAGAAACCATACATGAATTTTCGAATGAAATATATATAAAAAATACATTAAGCTCAACGTTTTGTGGATTCATTAAGTTTAGAAGTTAGTTAATACGTTTTTGGTTTGCGAGGAGGAATACATTTCAGCAGATCTGTACTATTCCACCCTTTCTGTAGAATGACCCACATACACATTACAATACAAAGCAAATGAACATTGTATCCCCTATACTCGCCTTTCCTTGACATATCGTGGGTTTTTTTTGCAGCCCCTCTCTGCTGTGATGACAAAGTACGACCATCCTATTTGACCTCGCTGAAGATGCTGATATGTCACATTCCTTACCAACGACTGGTGCTTGGCTTTGTGTTCATTACACTTGCTTTTCAGGTGCAGTTTGAGCTCATGGTGGCTGTGTTGCATACCTCGGCTCTGATGAAAATAAGCTAATAAGATGAGATGTATTTTTAAAAGGCATGCATGTATTTAATGGTTTGAAGAAGAGGAATGGTTAAACCATAATTATCTTTTTTTTTTTGTATTTCATGTCCCTTATCTCTTTTATCTCAGATGTCCCTGGGTAATTTTGCACTTTTCTGCAGCCATGCAGCTGGGCAGGGAGCCCAGTTCCAGCACCTCCTGCTGGTTCTGCTGGTAAAATAATAATAACTAACTGGAATCACACACTCTGCTCACCAAGATGTTTATATATAAGCACTAACTGAACTATTTCAAAAGCCTGACGATTTACAAGACGAGAGTCATTTTAAGTTTCAAATGAAAAGGTCTCAATATTTTTGCAGGCGTCTGCCTCAGTAGCAGTTCCTCTGTGGCAAACAGTTCTTCTGAGAATAGGAAAGAAGCCCACACTTTACATCGGACTATCAGTAAGGAATCACACATATCCCTGTATAATAATCTGTATGATGAGAGTCATTTTCCACACCTTCAATCTCTTCCGTTCTGTAAAGCCTGTTCATGTCTCTCTCAGCTCTTCATCCCAGCAGTTATTATAGTTGCCTCTGTTCCCAGTAACCTGCCAGTCTTCATGATTATGTGCATTCTGATGGGATTCAGTGTGGCAACCATGTTCTTGCTACCCTGGTGAGTCAGCGCCCAGCGAGGACACACAGTTCTAAAACCTTTCCAAGACTTTCTGTCAGATCTAATCAGTATCAAAACTGAATGTTGTGCACATGAATCATTCACAACGCCTCTACCTGACCCTGGCTGCTTATGAATATTCTAGCAATGATCAGTTTTTGTTGACTGGTCAGTTCTCCTCCCCTAAAATTGACATGGTGGTTTTGATATGACATCTGTCAGCTTGTTCTGTATCAGGTCTATGCTCCCAGATGTGGTGGACGACTTTGCTGTGAGACACCCCTCCTGCAAAGACCTGGAGCCCATGTTTTTCACTTGTTATGCCTTCTGCAGTAAGCTGGCGGAGGGCCTGTCTGTTGGCATCTCAACCATGACATTACAGTGAGTCAATCTTCCGGCCACTCACTTTATGTGTTATGTACGCCTGTTGGACCATCACATTTGGTTTTCTCCTTGTCTGCAGGTTTGTGGGCTACAGAGCCGGTGCCTGTAAACATGGGGACGGAGTGGTGACGGCTCTGATTGTGCTGTTCTCACCGGTTCCCATCGCACTTTTGCTGATAGGGATGGTCTTTTTTCACTCCTACCCGATCAATGAGAGGCGATGTTTGCAGCATCAGGAACAACTGACCACAATTCAGTAAGTGGCTTTTTGGGTGAATTGTCCTCTCAAAAGAGGAAGCCACAAATGACTCCTGACATGTCATCTTTAAAGTGGCTATAATAGATATTTTTATAATAACAACGTATTAAATGACAATGAGAAAGGGCTCACTCATAGTGATGAACCTACAGAGTATTATCACCCGAATCTACAGCTCCCCTCTTTATGAAGCTTAAAGTGAGTTTCAGCTTATTATTTAGCTTTCCCACCCACAGCTTCACTGTTCACTCTCAGTGCTCTCGTCGTTTTCAGCCGCAGCAGGCAGCTGTTTTCACTGAAAAAGCTCTGAAAACTCACTGCACACTACCTGCTCAGAACCAAACTTGAGGCACAGTTAGAGACTTCCTCGAGCATTTAGCAACAGCTGTAAAGACCAAATCAGAGATTAAGAAAAACAAATATCTGACTTACATTCATCAGGGGGACAGAAACACGTCTAAATGAATGATAATGTTGCTCCATAATTGCTGGATGTGTAAATAAGCAACTGTTTGCTAATAACTTCACCATATCAACGTAGAAAGTGATGATACGTCATGCTGTGTTCACAACTTGTTTTTGCTGCTCCCAACAGGCCAAAGAAATATTTCATAGCAGTTAGTTTAAGTTCACAGTCAGGGGTCTGGCTTTCAAATAGCCGGCCTGTTATATCAAGCTGGGAAGTTACTTTCCAGAGATTGGAATCTTTGGTTTGTTTGCATATGTTAGCATTGCTACTGCATTTTAAGTCAATATAGATTAAAAAGTAATTTTGGGGGATATGCTTGTTCATTTTCTAGCCGAGAGTTAGATGAGAAGATTGATGCTAACTGGCGCTAACTGAATGTTCAGTCAGGGGCCTGTTAGCTTAGCTTAGCATAAAGACCGGAAACAGGTTGAAACAGCTATTGCAAAAATATGTCTTCAGCAACTCAAAGCGGTTAAATGTGTTTTTATTAAATAGCTACAGAATAAGTTAGTTATCAACTATACTTATTAACTGTTGGGTCTTTTGTGATTTGGTAGTATATGCAAAGACTGTTATCACTCTTTCCTGATTAATAGTATAGATCTCATTGAAATTCACATTTCTCTGAAAAACTTCTGAAAAAAAGCTAATACCAATTTATAGTAATATACATACATACATGTTTTGATTCTATGGTTGTTATCGTCATTATTTATTTTCTTTTTATTCTTCATCTAGCCCAGAAGTTACGTCACCGTCATCGGACCCGAGAGAAAACGCAGAGCAGCCGTCAATTCTGCATCCCCATGCTAGTGCGACATCAACTTCACATGATAACATAAAGACCAACATGTTGTACAAGTCAAATTCCTCACCCGGTTGTTACAATCGGGATAGAATATGCTCAGTTAAGCCGTGCGTCCATTCAGATGTATCAAAGAGCCCCTCTAGAGAATACAGAAGGCCTAAATCGGTTGTCCAGCCAAATGTAAATCCTCAGTGTCATAAGCAGAGACTCAACTCACTCCAGCACTCAGGAGAAGATAAATTGGGGAGAAATGTTCCTGAGAGTGATCCTGTGCCTTCCTCTTGCAGGTCAAATGTGAGATCCAAAAAGACATGGGTATAGTCAGACACCATAGCTTCATATTCAGCGTACAAACATGACAGTGGTATCAATCTTCTCCTCAATGCTCGCCAAGAAAGCAAATAGTTTCCCAAAATATCAAACTATTCCTTTAAGTTGTCACTTTCCCATAATGTGTTACCAGAAAAATATAAACCTATACACACATTGCAACACAATCAAATACACCAATCCTGTAATACTACTTTATTATTTATAGTTTTGTGTTATGTATTTGGCACTGTGTAAGAGAGGTGCAAAGGTTTTATAAAGGTGGCATTTATGGCAGCACGACTCTCCTTTTATTCCCATATATTTTGTGAAATCTGCTGGATTGAAAGGAATATTTCTTTATGCCAGAAATCGCAACATGTTTTACCAATCCATAATTCTAGGTGCATGTAGTGTGAGGTTCATATTAACCTCATCTGAATGGACATTTGCTTTTTCTGGATCACGCAATCTGAAAATGAACAGCTCCGTAATAGTATCATAACAACTTGTCCTGGATTGTATGGAGGGCTGCATTTTTAATACTGATTTGTAAAGAAACACTCAAGTGAATGTGGTGAAAAAAATACTGATTGGGCTTTTAAATTAAAATTGTTATTGTGTTCTTGCTGTCATCAAAAGTCCCGTAAATAATTTCCTTGAATATTATGTCTTGACAGCGTTCCTCTATCAATTGTTCTGCTTAATTTCATTTTATTGTTTGTTTCTACAGTGCTGTCTAAAAAGTTTTTTATTTTTGAAAAGGAGGCATTTGCTGTCCTTAAGATTAAAATTGACTTTTTTGGAAATTATAGTAGCTTATAAATTGTAAGTAAACTACTCTTGTTGTCAATGTTTGCAACACATGCTTGTTATAAATATTTGTTAACACTATGCTTGGAAATCATTCACACAGTTGTCAGTTATTCAAATCTCTGAACTTCTGGTGACATGTATACAATGGAGGGGAAGGTTGGTGTGGCCCTGTCTGTCTATTCTGAGATGTATATGTCACATAGACACTAGCATAACACATATTATAATACAATAAAAAGTTATTTTGTGGGAGTAAATCGATCGGGTGGACAGGGATTGTTGCTGGTGAGTTTATGCTTTTATTGCCGTACCCGTTGCCCGTTAGGGTTTAGTTGCCAATTACGATATATTTCATTATAAAAAGAATGCCTCCTTGATGAATTGTTGCCCACCCGCACGTCAACAGGACGCCCCCTGTCTCCTGCTTCCGCTCGTACTGTAGGGTGGTCAAGAGGAAGGATACCCGAAGAGCCAAGATGGGAGTAGACATTGAGACCATAACTCCGGGCGATGGTGGGGATAATGTGCCTCATTTAACGACTTAAATACGGTCACGGTGTGTACGGTCCATTGTTAAAAACTCTCTTTTATTTTCCCATATTTTCAGGACGGACATTTCCGAAGAAGGGGCAGCGTGTCGTGGTGCACTATGTCGGTGAGTATGGAGGCTGGACTACTACTGAATGGAGCTTAACAATCTGGACGCTTACATTAATGTTTTTTGGGTGTTTTTTTTAAGCTAACGTGCAGCTACATGCAGCCCGCAAATGCGAGCTTTAAGCGGTGTGAAAGCCTGTTGTTTGCGTGATTTGTTTCAGTTAACGCTAGCTAACTGGTTGCATATTGCTGCTTGTGCTGGCTAGCATCGCAGCTAACGTTCAATGCCATGTTTAGCGTAACAAATTGCTTGTTGTGTCTGTTCGGTTAACGCTAGCTAAGGTGGTGCCACAGCCGGACATTTGCTCGCCGACTTGTGTCATTTATTGAACAATTCAAACGTTTGGACTGTTGGTATCAGTGGCATTAAGAAGGACGGAGCTCTTGTCGAGCTAACGGTACCGTAGCTGCTGTCAGCCCACTTAACGTAAGCTAACCGCCGGCCGGCCGGCCCCATGATGCTAGTCGGCTAACGGTAGCTCATAGCTCTGTAACTGTTATGAGGCTAAAGACTTATCAACAACCCCAACTGATGCATCGATACATATATGTATGGTTTTTATCAGGCACACTGGCAGACGGGAAAGTGTTTGATTCTTCGCGGTCCCGGGGGAAGCCGTTCAAATTCAAGATTGGACACCAGGAGGTTATTCGTGGTTGGGAAGAAGGAGTAGCGCAGGTGAGGAGCTTGTTTTAAACTCTCTTAACGTGAATCGTGGATATTTAGCGTTATATACTCTGTATCATATGTGTGGTACTTAAGTTAATGGCGGCAGCAGTAGTATACTTGCACAAAGTCTCTACATTATACTGTGAATGTATGCACAATCCTTGGAAAATATTGTTGCACAATCCTTGGAAAATATTGTTGCACAATCTTGCACAAAGCTGTTGAGCTCTTAATTTTTAAACGGATCTGTTGTTCATATTTTTATCGTCATTGTTTAAATTATATTTATGCTTCTTGACTGTTTGCAGTACTTGCTTTTATCTTGTATTATCTACTCGCCTATTCACTGTAGGCCTGTGTAAAAGCCTACTATGCAATAAACAACTATATTGCTGTTTTACACTTTTTTCCTCATGTTTTTTTTTTTTATTTCCAATTCATGGGATGTCCAATTTTAAGAATGGATTTTGTGTTTTTTGCAGTTGAACTCTAATAAGTACCTCTTCCATCTCCTCCACAGATGAGTGTAGGTCAGCGTGCAAAGCTGATTTGCTCACCAGACTTTGCCTACGGCAGCAAAGGGCACCCAGGGATCATCCCACCAAACGCCACTCTCACCTTCGACGTGGAGCTCATCAGTCTGGAAGCCTGAAACTTGTGCACTCACTTTGTTAAATTCCACTCAAATTTTCAGGGTGAGAATCTGTTTTATTTATTATTATTTTTAATCATTTGAACAATCGCACTGATTGTGTTCATATTCTGGGTGGATGGGGGTAATTATGTAGCTTTTAAAGTATCAAGTGTGCGTGATGAATGCCTTTTTTTTTCAGCACCACGCTTACATTTATTGTATACACATGTACATTGACTATACATTTAGCCGTTGTAAGTTAGATCAATGTTTACAGATTGAATAGTATGCATCGTCTTCATATCCTGTAATCCTCTCCTCCCTGACCACAGCACTAACGCCCCTTTTTTCCGTTTCACTGCAGGTCGACTCCTATCTTGGGAAGATGGAGGAAAAATGATAACTGATGATTCCTGCTCTTGAACCCTGCATAGGACCTATGTCTATATCTTCACTAGTTCACTCTCCTTTCATTTAGATACAATTTGTGTTTCGTCACTTGCTTTAAAACTTTATCCTCTGTGCTATTCTTTAGGTTCCGTACTGTAATAAGTCATAGGCCATCTCATCCCATGTTTTATTTTGTCATATTCTGCTATGTATTTTTTTTTGGTGATGTTTTGTTTTTTATTTCTCCTAAAACATTTTTACAAATTGTGTCTGCCATCAGGACCAGGTTTTAGATAAGTGTCATAAGTATTGAATCAATCTCATTCCTGTGGCTCTGTGGCCTTTACACTAAAATCGTATTGATTGCGGGTAATTAATTGTCTTGGATAAGAATAAATAGTTTGACACAATGCTATTTCTATGAATTACCTTTTGTGATACTTGTTATTGGGTTAAATTTAAAGTGTGGAATACATTGTAACCAGGGATTCATGAATCAAGCACATTACAGCCATGAGCAGCCTACAGGTCTCTGCAGAGGGAGGAGCGTCTTTGTCTGCAGCATCAATTCTTAATTTATAAGAGTGAAATGACTATTGCTGAAACACTCAACTGGACGTCTTTGGGCTTGTGGACTGCAAAACATCTGGGGAAACATTTTATTTTGCCAAAACAATCTTTGGTAAAAGGTTTCTAAACTTGCATGGTAAGTTCCACAGTTGTACATCTTGGGGTTTGTGATTCTTTGTTTGAAGGAGTTGTGTAAGCTGTGGATGTTGTAAAAGATCTGTTCCGTACTCTAAAAACATTAAAAGAGTAATTTTAACAAACGCTGCTATTTTCCTTCCCTTTTGGATGATTGTATCTCACTGTTAAGATCTACTCATCATAGTATTACCTTTTTAAAATGGGTTATATCATTTATGAATTCATATTTAATGGTATTGCAAAACACTACACGCTATAATGAAAGAAAACCGAGAGAAGCATATTTTATTTTCCAAGAAGAGGAAATACCCAGGGTATTTTGCAATATTCTGTGCAATAGTACAATTCACTATTTAATTTGCATGTACATTACAAGCTGATGGGAGGTCTAGTTTCACATGGAGAAGGATAAGTGAAATATCGAGCAAGTTTTAATATGAAGGAAATGTAGTTCCTCTGGAGCCGAAGTCAAACAAATTGAAAATAAGTAAAAAGTTCAAACATTGCAATCTGCGTCCCTCCAAACAGATATATTACACTTTATTTTCCATTGAAGTTTAAATTTGTAGCTATTCCTCCGTCTTAAAGCTGAATTATTGATTGAACAATCAACAAAACCTTATTGGACAGATCCCTGAAAGCTAAAACATCGCTCTTTCTGCAGAATAAGGCTGAAATCAGTAACCATACACACTGCACATCGTAGTTTATAGTTACAATTGAGCCATTTCAGTCGACACACAAAAGGGCCACTTGTAAGATGAGTATACAATGATACACACAGTACATCATTATTATAAACTGCTAAACAGTGCTGTGGGAGCAACCTACACCGACGCAAAGTGTTAATCTTTGCTTGCAGCTGTGCAAAGATCATGTAAAATTAGAAAATATATCACTGTATCAAAAACAGTTCTCTCTTCTCAAAGTCAGTAAACAAAAATGCTCATCCAAGTCCTTCATTCATTTAGCTGTGTGGATCACGATCTACTGTATGTGCTGCCTATTCCCTAAAGCTTTTATAGAAATATGTGATTGTAGATACACAACCAGATTAAAGTCCGTCCTGCTGAAAAGCTATGAACACAGTGCTTTGTTTGCTGTTTTCTCCTACTTTGTATATTTAGTTTGTAAACTGCAGATTTTTGTTATTTTTAATTTCAGGTTCACTATTTTAGCAAAGAAAAAATATTAATTAGTTAATGTTGAGGATGAACGTCCCATCAGGATCAAATAAATAGTTTTAAACTCCCTTGTGTTGTTTATTGGCAAACATATCAGTGATTTGTCTGTTCTGCACCTCGGAACCAGATTAGATGCACACGCTTTCCAAAAGGGAAACGTCCCGGCAGCTTTCAACCACATTCAATATTTTCGTGGGTGGAAATGACTTTGCTGCCTTCACTCACTGTGCTCTGTAAATCTATTAACTGCTCCTGTCAGGTAAACACTGACTGTCATGTATTTCATGACTGCGACTCTCCCATTTAACAATGTTTAAAAATGTGATGATGAAAATAGAGGAGCATTCAACAGACTATTTTTCTTCTGCTCATTTTCATAAGATAAAGTGCATATCTTTGCCCAGAAGGTATCATCTAAATCCAGATACAGGCTTTTTAATTCAAGCAAGGGAACCCAACCAAACTGGGTTACATGCAGATTCCAATAAAGAGAACACCACTTAAACCTCAGGCAGTAGCAGTAAGTATATTTGAGTAATGAAATAATGTACGACTAATCATTTGTTCTCTAAGGCAAGGCATGACCACGAAATCACGAGGACGGTATGTAAAACCTAGAAATCTTATAAGAGGAGATATCCAACAAACGGCAATGAGCAAATCGTAATGAAATCAGCATTGCAGAGGTTGGGAGTTGTCTTCCTAATGTCTCAGATTGCTGTTGTCCCATTCATGCTGGTCGGCCTGCGTCCCCTGCCTGCACCCCTGCGGCGAAGTGAGTGGAGGGCCACAGCACAGCAACCTCTCAGCAGGGAGCCAATATGATACACCGGCAGGACTTCCCGCGACGCCCCTCGACACAGCCACGCCATGGTCGGGACCACTGGCATCGCCAAAGCCAACAGATCCACGAGGAAGTAGGGGCTCCAGTGGCACAGCTGAGGGGAATACCCGTCTTCATTCGCACCTTCGGTTCCGTCCCCATCGTCCTCCTCTATCTCCACCACTGTAGCGTCCCGCCTCTCTGGGAGAGGAGCTGAAGGGGGGGGCTGGCAGGTGTGGGGCTCTACTGGCATCTTTGTTACCTGCTCTGGTTTGTCGGCTGGTAGCGGCTCTACGCTGTATGAATGCTCAGGAGGGAGCCCGGCAGGTAAAGACGATGGAAACAGATGTGGTTCTGAGGGGGTGACGTCTGCTGTGGCTAAAGAAATGATACTCAGCTCTTCGACGCCGCTTTCCTCACACAGCCAGGTCATGGTTGGGCTGCAGGCCTGGGAGCGCACCTCTGGTTTCTTCTCCACTGCAGGAGAGGGAGTAGGGATAGGATCACTGGCACGGGCAGCAGCAGTTTCCGCTGCAACCGGGGCCTCCTCCTGAGGTAAATGCAGGAACAAGTGGTGATGAGGGAGGTAGGTGTGGCCACTGCACTTGCAGCTGCTGCTGCCACTGAGGGCGTGGCAGGAGTGTGACATTGGCAACACCGCCCCCCCGCTGCACAGCCTTTCGTAGGTGGAAGCGCGTGGCACAGCCGGGGGGCCTCGCATGTGGCCCTGCGGAGGCAGCTGCTCCGACAGGAGGGCCGCCTCCAGGAGCAGGTGGGTTTGTCCTGCTGGGCGAGATGCTCTGCTTGACTCGGGAGCGTTCGGGCTGTGCTCCAGATGCAGGGCCTCGCTGCTCAGTCGGGTGCGGGTGGCGCTGCGACTTAAAGTGCTTGCTGGGGAACAGCCACAGGAGCGAGACTTGCCCCCTTGCCGAGCTGCCTGCAGCCCCGAGTAAGGCTTGTAGTCATGGGGGTTTTGTTCGCGGACGCTCAGGTTGGACTTCACTGTATCCACCACCTCCTGAAGGTGTTGGATCTCCTTGCGGGCCTCTTTCAGCACCAACTGGGCCTCCACGCGGTGGCATTCCTCCTCTATCCAGTCCTCCTGCATCCTGTACAGTTGGGACCTCAACCCATCTATTTCACAGTCTCTGATAAAGAATAAGGGACAAGTGAACAGCAGAGTTATTTCTCTTTTAAAGAAACAAACCAAGGTGGTTAGCGAACAGGAACCCTAAAAGGTTTTTGAAGGAGAAAAAGAACTGACCTGTGTTGTAGTCTTTCCACATTGTCCCTCAGCCTGGCTCGCAGATGTCGTATACACACCTCCTTCTGCTGCAGAGGGGTAAGGTACTGCTCCGGGGTCGGGGGCCTGATCCCATGGTTGTCATTGCAAGCTGTGTGCTTTGCATGTCGCCTGAATCAACACAGCATAAAAAAAAAGAGGAAATAAACGTAAAATTCTTTGCCTAATCAAGTGTGAGAACAGTAAATTGTGAGTCCGGTTGACAACAAACAAGTGGTAGCGAATTATGAAAAGCTAGGAACATATTCACCCTCGTGCAAATCAAACTGCTGTTGAATATGACCCTAGAGGCATATTATCATATCAAGACATAGTACAAGGAGAATTGTAAGATTGATAACATACCTGGGTGTGCTGGGATATGTCCGAGCCATGGGGCTGCCCTCTGCTGCCCTAACCCGACCGGGGTAGGTGTGAATACTGGATGTATCAGTGTGGGAATATCGCCCGCAGCCGCCACCAGTGCCAACGGAGCGCCTTGGAGGGAGAGACCACATGATATTCTTTTACAATACAGTGGGAAGTAAAAAAACAACATCACTCAGCATCACTCTGAAACCGAAGGTGCAAACAGTACCTGCGCTGACCTGAGGAGGGCTTTCGACTCGGAGTGAGCGACATTGACATGCGAGGGACCTCCAACCGCTCCACTGCTGCCTCTAGAGAGGGATGCTAGGAGCCCTCACAGCTGGACCGTAACAAAAACACATCAGAGGCAAAACCTGCAAATCAGCTAACAGTAATCTAAATCACAAATATTCCTTGTAGCATACTGTGTTGTGGCCATTATGTGCTTCTTCACTGCAAGTCAATGACAATAATGTAACCCTAACCCTAATTAAAATAGTGTACGCCAGCAGCAAATAAAGCCTCCTTTCTGTGCTGACACAAAGGGGAACAGTGAGTTCACTGTCAGCTGCCTCTCTCCGAGCTGTGTCCTGCAGAGCTGCACATAAACGTGATGAACCGTCACATTAACTGATGTCAAAGGGCAACAAAGTACATCTGACATTTGGTGACAACACTACAGGAGTTTAAAGGGTCCCTACATAAAAAAAAAATCACCCTATCACATAAAAGCAGTGCCGTAGCAAGCATTTCAGAAAATCTAAAATATTTAGATTTACTTACTTGGATCTTTCATGTTAAATGTATTCTGTAAACTGTTTAATTATATTATCTGTAATTTATTCCCTGATACGTGAAGGTATCTGTCTTGTACAGCTGGGTATCGAAAGACTTAAGTATTGAATGCGCTGGCTGGAGTTTTAGACTTATTTACTTGTTATTTGATCAGATTTTTCCTATTCCAATTTTATCTATCTTTAGACCGTTTGATTTTGGTGAATCTTATTCTGTTAAACTCTGCTGCAATTAGCAGTTTGACATTTATTGTTAAATGAATAAAAGGGTCAAAACAGCTTTATATATTTCCAAAGTTTGGTATCCCGGCACTAATATCTATAAACAAACCTAGTCCTATTTGTTTAGATTTGGTGCTGTAAAAACTGTAGCTGTAGATTGACACAGAGGACATGACCTCATTGGTAGCTCCGCCCCCTGTTTATATATAAAAGTAAAAATAATCAGATAGCTTTGGGTGGTAGCTCACCACCCCAATTGTGGAAAAGTACATTTCTATCGAAAAGAAAAAATGAAAGATGAGGACAACATATTCTCTTCCTTCTTGAAAAGTGCCTGACTTCAACCTGCTGATCTTTAGGCCTGAAATAACCTGCTTATGGATAAATCTCTATAGTGGCTGCACACACAGCATATACTGATGAAAAGTCAAAACGAAACACACGCATATTTATTAATTTTTGTCCTATATTTAAATTCTAGGACGACGAGACAGGACATCTCACCTCCCTCCCTTCTGTCTGCGCAACAAGTGGCCAGTACGTTATTGGTGAGAAATACGCAATCATCTTACGTAAGTGTGAGTATCGGTGTTATGTGGAGGCGAGCAGCACACATGCAGCAGGATGGAACTACTTAAAGCAGCATTCAGACGTGGAGATGAGATAGTCAGCTGATGGTTCCACAATGCTTCGGGATAAATAGGGATGTGTCCTTGAATAATAATTGTGGCATTAAATTGCAGGATTTTTTTTTCCTCCCCACATCTGTCGCCTATACTGTAAAGCAGTGTTAGATAAGCAGGCAGGTCTGGTGTGATTACTTTTTTTTTTTCATTATAAGCTGAAAAAGTCAGCTGACTACAAAGGAGTCTCTAAACAGGACATCGAACAACCCAGCAGGTACTTTCCATAAAAGAAAACGCAGCTTCTGATAGAAACAGTTCAGACATTAAGTCCCAGCTGTGTGTGTCCTGAATACGGTCATTTAACGGGGACGTATATACCCCGAATCTCAAAGGTTCTGGATAGCTGTGCACGCGCACAAAACACCGACACAGCTGATTTTTTTCCAACAGACCTTCATCAGACAATACCATTTCGCCAGGTGGAAGTTGCGCATCGCAGAGAAGCCTCGGTTCCCGCCACACTTGATGGTCGATGATGAAGAGTCCCCGGTGGCAACAGGAAGAAAAGATGCTGCTGATGCTGACGCGAGTCCATCCTGCAGCCATGAAGCCCGGAGACGAAATGAGGCGACTGCGTCTGCTGCATCGGTGCTTCTTAAAGTGACAGCAGGGGGATAACGTACGCTTCATTGGGCACGACTCCACCGCACGTTAGTGCGTGCTGGCCGATGGGAAGATATACTGTCCGACAGGTGAATCGTAATTTAGAAAGCCCATTCATTTATAAACGCTGACTGGAGAATAGGGCTGGACTGGTACACGTACCACACCTCAGATGATGGATGACTGTGCAGAGGAGCATTCACGGACTAATGCAAGCCACAGTTGAAGCGAACTTTGTTCCTTAAAGAAAAATACATTAAAACAACATCCATTCATTCATGCGTTTATTTTAATACAATCCACAATGACATAAGTCACAACATTTACAATTTCAGAACAAAAAAAAAACATTTTAAAATACTTAAAGGTTTAAATTCTCGACTATTTACATAATGAACTACAAGAACGAGTTACTGAATTCCAGTTGTGTAGTTATTCCTATGCCTTCTAAGCATATGGTCTGTTAGTGGTCATGTGTGATGCAATAGTATGTTACTGTCCCCAAATGTGTGAAGTCAGGCCTACAATGAGCACAGACTAAAGTGATGACTTACACATTCTGACCAGTTGTAGGCTGATAAATAAATATAACTCCTTTGAGTCCATGTATAATTTAAGTCACCTTATGTGATGTTAAAACTACAGCGCAGGGCTGTACAGAAGTACTGTACTGAGTTTTCTGGATTCAAACTGCAGGAAACAAATATAATGAATATAACATCTTGACCTCAATAATGACAATATATGAATTTAGTTTCATATCCCAAACTTCAGTAACATCAAATGTATCCGGCTGAAGCTATAAAAATGCAAACACATCTAGTAAACATTCAGTCTAGTGCTTTGCATCGATACAGGGAACAGATTTAAATATATGTAAATATAATCTGTACTTTAACGTAAACATTTGCTTACAATGAAATTTTCCTGACATCTCAGATAAGACATACCAGCCCTGTGTTTAGAATACATGGAAGAGGAACTGGTGTAAAACATGAACTGAACATGCAAGAAATTTCAGTCCAAAAAGATCACAAGAACAATATAACAATAATTCAATAAATACTTAAAGGACCTTGTAGATCACGTAAAAAAGTGAGGGATGAGAAACCCATATCTGATGTCAGAGGCCTAATAAAGAGTTTTAGACTAAATGTTCCTTCATTGATACTTTCCCAATTTCTCACAAATGAAAAGTACCGAGAACAAGTGAAATAGTATTTACAGGTTCTGAGACACACACACACGAGCATACCAATGTGTGTGACGTATAATGTAAAGTGAGATTCTTCTTTTCAAGCATCTTTTTTTTTTTACTATTTAGCCCAGAAATCTATTGGAGTAAACGTTTACTTCACCCCGAGAGACTGACATAGTAACACAAACCTGTGCTACTTGTGCACGAGGCAGATCAGACAGAACTAAGACTGCAACTCTGGAATTTTAAGAAACTGCATCGTGTTTTAGTAATTGTAGAAATTGGGTCCATGTGTGGCAGTGATGTCCTCGTAGGGTGCTCTCTGGTGCAGGTGAAGGGCTTTTTGTTTGTTTAGGATCAGGAGACAGAAGAAGGTGGTTGCAGCCTGCGAGCGAGTTCCTCCTTCACAGAGCGCCTTCAGGCTGAACGAGGCGACGCTGTTGCTCTGGCTCTGCCAAAACACGAGAGAGATGATTTAATTCATTCAACATTATCTCTAATCCTGCCCCGCCCGCCCTGTCCACTGGGGCTATAGATTTGAATCTGCCATTCAACGAGCAGGGACACTCCCTGTGTCATCAACATACAGGCAAATATAATATCTAAGATTTGGTCATTGGCGTTACTGTGATTCTAATACATGAACGATTCTTTTTTACGTCCTTACTTTTAGAATGTTCAGAAGCTTCCGTGTACGTCTGGTTATCATCCTCTCCTCAAAGTCCTGGCTGTCCAGCATAGACTGCAGGTTAAAAAAAGGACCGTATTTCAGTGAGTGATGCCGGGATTATCTCCAAGGCAGCATGGGAAATAAATTAGCACCTGCCATCTGGCAGACACTGTTAGATTTGTAGTTTGTTTACTGCACCGGCCATTTTTAGTCTAACTTCCTGCCCTGTTTCTATTTGTGACTGCGTGTGTTCACAGGCACCTGAGTGTGGAGGGAAGTTGACTGAGTCTCCTGCTGCACGTGAGACGGATGGACAAACATGGAGTCCTCTGATGGAAGCTCTGGATGTGAGAACTCTGAACTGTTGTCATCCTGACACGGCACAGATTACAAACGTGAGAACGGTAAAAGGACATCATGAATGGGGAAATGAATGACTTCTCTTTGTCCGACACGCTAATGCTTACTTGTGCGAGCTCTGAGTAATTCTCAGGTAGATTGTCGTTCATGCGATCGAGGTCGGTCAGCTCGGTGTTGTGTGTTCTTTCGGGGTCTATTGATGAATCCACGACACTGACGTTGCCTGTGGTGAGGGTGCTCGTGCCCCTCTGAACTGCACGAGACATAATTATGCAGAGTGCATGTCACAAAAGGCAGAACAGAGGACAACACCAGTGATGTGTTCAAATAGAGATGATAGTTCACTTCCTACCATCTTGTCCACCCTGACGCATCACCTCAACCTCCTCACGCACTACATACGATTTCACCTGGAAAATACTCTTGGCAAAGAGCTGCAAAGGCAAAAGTACATTAAAACGGTAACAGGAGTAATTTCAATTGAATGTTCGCTTCGGATTGATTCGTCGTTTTTAAGATAAAAGACCATCATTGCAGGGATTTGTTTATCTTTTTCACCTTCTTCACATGTGGAGCTGCTACAGAGGAACACGGCTGTGTAAAGAGTTTGTCCACACCGCCGCTCTCCTTCCACTGCATGAGCTGCAGAGTGGGTGGGGCCATGTCCAACGGGGCAACCAGATCGGAATCGTCGAGGAGCTGCCCTCTGATGCAGTCATTGGTCAGCTCTTTAGTCTGGTCCACAATCAACTTGCGTTTCCTCTTCCCCCTCTTCCTCTCCGAGTTCGCTGAAAAGAAACAGCAGAAGGTCATGAGAACGCTTGCTTTGAGTATCAAGAGCCCGCCGTTTGTGTGACAACTTCTTTTGGTTTGGCTCTCTTTGTACAGCAATGTGATCTGTGAGTTGAGGGAACACGGTTTGAGGGTTGTTTAGTTGCGCCTACGAGTGACGGTCACAGGTTCGAGTGCAAAGGCCTCGCCCTCGTTAGTGAGCAGGGTGGTCTGATTCAGTGTCGGGGTCTCCATCGCCGTTCTGTCACTATCTGGAAAACATATGGAATCTGTTCTGAGTCTGAATGAAACTATATTCCGTCTTGATGAACAAAACATAACACAATCCAATGCGCAGCTGTACCATCAAACTAAACTATGATCACAAAATACGGGCATAGCACTAATAATTATTAAACTGCTATTAATTAAGCAGCTGTTGAAATGGAGGTGCTTTGCTTTGTTAGAAGGTAAAACAGGATGTAAATATTTGAAATATGTTGAAATAATGATGAAACGTCACCTGGTTGATGATCGAGTGAGGAGATCTCTGGATGTTCATTGAGAGGCTCCTCTAGGACGAAGTCAGTGGACTCGGCATTATCACTGGAGATTGTCAGAAAGTCTACAGGGTCATTAACAAATAAGAGAATCGATCACTCTAAGTTTTGATTAAATAAAAGAACATAACAAGAGCAAATATATACAGCAGCAGAATTCCTTCAGATTGAAGACTTGTTTTAAAGCTACTCGGAGTAAATTGAAGACCAACTGTACAATAACTAAAATATGACTTGCTGATGTAGGCCGTGTTGTTGGAACTGCGTGCAAGCGTGTGAGCAAATCCAGAGTCTGGGAACATTAGTCCCTTATTACCCTATGATTGATGTTTTGTTATATTTGAAACTGCAATGTCAGAAAAATAGATATATTTAAAATGTTTAACAGCAATAAAGGCCTTATTTCTTTAGATTAATGAATGAAATGCCGTGTGAGACGTTTTAAGGATCCACAGGAACCCAGAGTAAATGAATGCAATCTGTAGCAAAAGTAGGATTTTGTTGCTACAAAGCAACACGACTGATGAATGAGTGCAGAGAGAATCTTTCTCTTATTTGATTATCATGATTTAATGAGCAGTCGGGCCATGCTATGTCTCAGATGTTATTTATTCTTTGTGTCCCAATTCAGAGGCTGGATCCTTCAAAGAACGCTGGTCCTTCAGAGGATGTGAAGGCAAGCTTGTATTTCTGCTTCGTCCCCAAGAGACAGTTTAGCCTCACAGAGATCAAACCTACGTATTGTTGCTCTTGTGCAGTCCCAGTCCCACGTGAGCAGTCAAATATGTCACAAAGTGCAAACGCCACTGGGAAACTGGGACATGTGCCTTCATATGAGTGCGGACATTTCCCTGAAACACATAATAGATGACTGGGAAACTGTACCAGACTAACTATAAATGTATCTATATTTAATTTCACTTTCTTTTAATGCCTTCTGATCCATGACATATTGAGGCTCCTAAAAAGAACAAACTGTGGAAAAATCCGTTTAAGCGTGTTATGACATAATTGGTCCCCAACGGCTGACTTTGGAGGATCCGGCCCCTGAATTGGGACAAGGCAATCTGGTGTATTGGCTTCACAAAATCTTAGTTTGATTAATTCACAATCACTACCGAGTAGGTCGAGTCCTCTATTCTCATCCCCAAAATCGTCTCCATGTTGACCGAAGCTCTGGAAGCTCATATCCAGCAGCCCATTCTGGTGGCTCTGGGACTCGTCTCCTACTCATCAGAGCACACAAACGGAGGAAATGTTTTTGTTATTGTCAACAAATCCCACGAAAAGACCAACCCCAACAATGCATTAGTCTGTCTGTGGAAATGAGCTGCGAGCACATTCATTACTGCAGATGTAAATCTTTAAAAGCAGGTAACTAGTGTATCATTTAATTCAGAAACTAAAAAAAGCTGAGGACTATAGTTTTTAGTAAATGTTACTCAATCAGGGGTGAATAACTTTTTAACATTTTCAGCTGTGGATTTACCTAAAGTCATCGTAATGAAGAAACATGTCAGCCGGTGCGACGGCGTGGCTGATTTATGTGTTTTTAACTTTTTGGAACGCAGTGGAGCTCGTCGATGGCTCAGAGGAATAACATGTATCAGGCTTTAAATTAGCAGGAATAAATGAATGCTGAACATACCAAATGGCATTAGCTCACATCAAATCAGGAATAAGAGAACAAAATGGTTCTTACCGAAATCCACTAAGTTCAGAAAGCCATTTCCAAAATCTTCTTTCAGAGTGATTTCCTCTGATCGACACTGGTTCAGTGAAAAGTGGTCCACAACATCCATGTTACTGGTGTCCCAGTATGAAGAGGACATAGTGTGGACACAGACACAATACTTATTCATCACGCTTAAAGGAACAATGGGTGACCCAAATGTCAACGAAAGGGTTAGCTATCACAATTTAAAAGACAAAATTATAATTTACCACATCAGTTAAGTTTGTAATCCAAGCATTAACACCTAAATGTGTCATGTAACGCATCTCTGAGCATCTTGAAAAGCCTGTTTTCAAATATGGTCACTTGAGAAGCTCAAGAAGTATATGCTTTTATATTGTTTATATTGCATTTGTGAATAAGCATGTGTCTTTTAAACTGCCACGTCTTGAGTGACATGTCTTAAAGAAACCTGCATCTATAAATGTCAGGTTGGGCTTCGTCGGAGAAGAGACAACGGTACCTCAGATGTGGCAGCTGGGCATCAAAGGCAGTGAAATCCTCGATCAGAGTAATTGCTTTTAGTGTTGCCTCGAGCCCCTCCACGGGCATATCTGTCTGACCTGGTGTGTTGAGAGACAAACGGGGCAAATAATATACAAACATATACTGCATTTAGAACTAGAATAGATAAGAACAGCACTCAGCGATTTACCTGAAGAGGTATTTCTTTGGAGCTTTCACAGGCATTAAAAGATCATGTTAAATAGACGAAGATGTCCTCAGGATCTTACATATAAGAACTAATCAGCTGAGCTACTATATTACTTCATGAATTCAGAGATGCTAACTTCTTTACCTTGTTAAGTGTGTTTAAAGACTTTTAGCTGCATAAATGTATGCCTGTCTCTGTCCTTTCGGGACTGTTTATTCTGTGTGACAGTTCACGTGAGAGAAACACCTCCCATGCATAATAACATTCTCTCTCTCCTCCCGAAATCAATTTAGTGGAGTAATTAGGTCTATGTCACCCTCTGGTGGTTATTAGGGAAAGTATTTACTGGTTTATTAGGTACAACAAGCACAAACTAATTCTGTCTAAAACAACAATCCTGCAATAAATCCAAGCTTTATGAAGGTTATGATGTTCAGTTGAAACTATTTTAGAGAGGCGTTTACTCAACTGCTTGATCATTTTGAAGGATGCAAAGTTTTCAACTTCAATGAATGCATCCACGTAGCCAAAGTTTACCTTTGCACCATAATTAATATTTTAGCAAGTCCAACGTCTCTAGAGTTTAAACAACAGTTGACACCGACAGCACAAACGGGGTGTTTTACCTGGTCTGAATGCCATTTTAATTTTAACCAGTGCTTCACTGCAGTCTGCGAGGAGATACTTTGTTTTCCTGGAGTAGATCCTGACCACACCGACCAGCAGATGACCGGAGGTCCTCAAGCCAAGTTTCATCTACAAAGATCACACATACATCTCAGACAGCACTCTTACACTTTAGCTCTAAGTTATTACATTATATTGGGGCTTTGTTGATGTGTTGTTTTTGTTTACCTTTGGGGAAATTATGTCTATGATGGTTGTTTCTAAATTACATTCAAATATATGGGCCTTTGTGAGTTTCCTTTCCCAGTGCGCTGCAAGCCAGATCTTGGCCAGAGGCCCCCGCTTGGAGGTGAAGAGTTGAGTGTAGAACATCATGTTGGTGGACCAGAGCTAGCTGTCACCTACAAACAACACAACACTGGCTGTTTAAACCCTTCCCATGTCTCTGATAATAATGTTATTCTATTTATGACATTAGAGTAGTAAAATATTCAGTCAAGCTGTTTAACTTAATGTTTGTGCCACTCGAGCTTTAACTTTTATGGTCAAAGTTAGATAACGTTAGCTAACGTTAGCTAGGAGGTTCCCTAAGCTAGCTAGCTAGCTATGGCGGCACTCAAATATAAGCAGTATTTTAAATATAAATAAAATTACGTAATATAACTTGACACAGTTAAGAATTTAGGTAGGAACGTGAAATTGCCGCTCCACGTAATTATGCCCATTTATCGGGCTAACCAGACATCAGCAATATTAAGCTTACCTTAACTTTAAAAGTGCCGCTTTTTGACATTTGGACGTAACGGTATCCAAGCAGCGACTTTAGCCACGCCCACCCGAAAAACCAAGCGAAGATGTGATGAAACTCTGCTGCTTCAGAAACACAGGTCAGTGGGACTAACCCGTGTACAACCAGGTTAACTAAACAAGTTGTCCATAGTTTAATCCCACTTATAATAATGCAACATTTAAACGGAGGGAGGTCATGTTAAGTAGTTCATTGTTTAATTTGTGGAGTGTTTGTCAAGCAACAACATAAATGGAGTTCAGGCAAACTTAATTAGGTTTCCTCCAAGGCTCTCTTTTGAGGTTTGATGCACTTTTTACAGGCACTTTTTACGAGTTGGCCCTGTACAAGAGGAACAACTAGTAGCTCGTGTAGCTATGTGAGGAAATGAATGCTGGCTGAATTCCACTAAGCTGCTTTGACTTAAGGGTGCGAGTATTGTGAACGTTGCGCATGCGTGCTTGCTGTTTGGCTGCCACTAGTTAGTAGTTTAAACCCACACTGGTGCAGCAGATAATAAATGCATGTAAAGTGGTGAGTCGATATATTGTTTGTAGTTTATGCAATATCTACGAAGGTGCAGCAGTAGTCGGTCATATTTGGGCTGTTCCCTTTTTAAAAGTCCTGCACACCTACACACGTGTTTTCAATTATCCTGTCTGTTCAGACTGGAAGTTGGGTGAGCTGAAACAATAAGTTGATTTATCAATTTTCCATTTGTGTGCACTAGAGGGCGGCATTTGATACATTAAGGACACCTGAACACACTGACTCATGCAGACCCGGCCACAGTGGGAAGAAACAACCTGTGCATTGTTGTCGCCATTAGAGTATTAAATCTAATTGTCACCTCTCATGGTGTGTGTTGTAGATAAACTATAGCAGAAGCTCAAGCGTGATGACACAGTGAACACTTGTACATAATACAACCCAATACAAAAGACTTGCAAATAAGCTGCTTTAATACAAGTAATAATATTTCATCTTTTGACTGTGTCAGAGACTTGTTTCTACTCTGTGGGACGGTGTTTTCTCATCCCATATTACAGGGCTGCAAGTTATTTTCGTAATTGGTTAAATACCATACTGGTTTCAAAGAAACTTTGATTTCCTTTGTTTTGGCTAAAATTATTTAAAACAACTCATCCTTTATCATAATAGTTGCTGATTATTTTTCTGTGGATTGTCTAATTGTTTCAGCTCTACATAATTAAAACTTCAAGTACATGCAGCATTTAAAACCATTGGTACGTCAGTTTTGTAAGTTTAGCCTGTGAAACAGATTATTTTATCATTTATTTCAGTGCATTCATCATAATTAGCTACGTCTCGATTAATGCAGGAGGGTGACGTCAAGATGAACCTGTCGGACGTGAATGGACTCCTCAGTCAAGAGGTAGGATGAAGATGCCTGAACACTCTTTCTTTCTCTCTTTTTCTCTCACACAAACATACTTAAGATCAAAACTTGTCCTCAAGTCACAACCGAGGCAGCAATGTCGGGCCAAGAATTATTAACATGACAAGATATGTGTTTCATGTTAACCGAGAGCCTTGGGTAGTGTTAGTGTGGCTGCACAAATGTGGCGGGTCCTGAATTTCAGGGAAGTGAGATACAGGATAAAGATATGCGGCACAATGTGTTTGAGCTTTCACTCTGTAAACTCCGCTGTCATTATCTTTTAAGGTGACTTTTACTTTGGATGCTGTGCAATGAGCTCTGTGATGGCAAAACGGGGTATTGGGTTTTCTTAACTGTTAGGTTTCCATCTGTTTCTAGAGAAAAAGCTCACTCAGTCCAAAATGAAGTATCTCTCACACAACAGTCACAATAATACAAAATAAAAACTGGGTGAGGAAAATCAATGCTTTAGATTTATGAGTTTTGAAAAATACCCAACTACTGTGTGTGCGCCCATGTAGGATTAATCTGCCAGTTTCTCTAAATGTTTCGTGGTTCGTTTTCTTTTAATTCCTTCTCTGGATGCAAGATCAATGCTCGCCTACTGGTTGCAAGTGAAAAGCATATCCTCCAGACTTAAAAATAAATGACTTTGCATCTTAGTCGATACTTCATGCATATTTTTCTTGGACTCCTTGCTGTCATGGGAGTTTTCATTTCCATTTTATTTCAGTTCAGCTCTGGTAGATGGAAGTATATCTCTTCAGCAGCAGATACACTTCATACTGTAGATGTACACATTTCAGTTTTGTATTTCTGAGATTTTAACTCTCTTTCTTATATGTGGTTTTGGATGCACATTTATATTATCTTCAAAAGGTTGGCAACCCCCCAGCTGTAGCTTTGCTGTCATCACAATTTTGGTCAGTGTGCTCAAAAATGCTCCTCAGAAAATGATGTCTCAGCGGCAAACACAGATAAAATAATGTTGCAATGACATGGAAGTGTTGCAGTGAGTAGTCTTTCACCTCCCTCACAGATAAATCATGTCCAATCTACCAAGTTAAACATCAACATCTCATTAACTGTTGAGAAGATTTTTCCTTTAATGGATGTCAGTGTTATACCTCTAACAAACAGATTTGTCTGTGTGACAAATTATTGGATGGATAGACAATTTTGCAGCTATTTAAGATAGTTACTTAGTGAAGTATAATGTGAAATATATTGTTGTCTCAGCTTGTGTTGATTTGACAACACTTTCTCCGAAGATGTAGTGTTTTGAGGGCATGCAGTACATATGCACATTTGGTTGTGTTGTCTGCAGTTGCAGTGTCTTGTGAAACACTAAAGCTTTTGTCGGAAAAGAAGAGGGGAGATCTGGAAGTGTTGCACACCAACCCAGGGATTTCAAATAGAGACAACACCCAAGGTGCTGCCAATAATGCCAATAGATTCCTTTGTGGAACATTAGATTGGCACTTAATTTGAACCTGGTGAGCCCTCAAGTTAATGATTAATGGGAATGTTCCCAAAGCAACACGTCGCTGACAGATAATTAATGAGAAAATCTCGTCACGTAGGTTTTTTTGTGGATCAGAAAAATGGTTGAAATTAAAGATGTCCTTCAAAGGTTGTGTTAGGTTTTTAAGAACAAAGGATGAGAGAGCCTGCAGGCCGCAGGTACTCTTCTGCTGCGAGCTTCTTACTGCGCACGCGCATCAGAAGAATGAGCTGGACCCGGTTCAAAATTAAAACAATATTTAATGTACTACACAAAGTTCACTTACAAACTGAATTAACTATCAATAGTAATGTTCTCGAGAGCAGAGACCACATACACGCATCTCCTCACAGTCCGGCGCGGCCAGTTAGCTGAAAATGAGAGCTGCAGTGATCTGAGGTAAACTCCCTAAAACATTGTCTTTTGTATCCCCTGAGAGTCGGAAAGTGTCCGATACTGTCATAAAACGTGTGAATGACCCTCCGTGGCGATTAGTGATTGGCTTCATTTGAATTCTGTCCCCTCCCATTATCGATCCCTTAGCAAAACATCTTGGACTCCTCCTCTCTGTCCTGCTGGTCAGCTTGGCATTTGATCGTCCCACTGGCCCCATCCTCCATTGATGAGGTCGCCTCCATTTGCTGCTGCATGTCTGACACCTCACTCAGAATCCCTATCTGACCCTCAAAACTATTCTTAGTGTTTTAATACCTACAGTGACTATACTTCTATGATTTAATACATTCAATGAGTTAATATACTGTAACATATAATATCCTCTATAAGTAAGAATATTGTAAACCTATAATACATTCCATATGGAAACATATTGTGACTAACATATTTATTATTGTAACACTTCTACTCGCCACTAGGGGTGTTATTAACTAATAATGCGTTTAATACTGAAATTCTCCACAGTTTCTTACTTTAATTACTCCTCTGCTATGATATGTGATGTTACTATTCTAATACCATTTCCTTGAATCAGAAAAGATTAAATGAAAGGATTTCAAACACTCTGAGCCGGCTTTCTGTATCTCCAGAAAAATCAGACCACAACAATTAATCACTGTTTTTATTTCTTTTGTAAATAAAGCTGCACCGGAATTGGTTTTGATGATGCTATCAACACTTAGTTTGTTTTTCTTTAAATGCGTACATGAAGCCACAAAGGACAATACCATTAAAAACGGAGAGCAGACTTAAATATAACAAAATGCTGTTTGACTTCTGATTATAGAAAACTAAATTGTCAGTCTTTTGATACATATTTGCAGGATCAGACGTGGGGTTTTTTTTAAAACGGACTAAAATACAAAATTTATTTATTTTAGTAAATGCGCATGAATTCTAAATTAAAAATAAGGAGTAGACGACGAAAAACAGCATAAATAATCGAATATGCGTTAGTTTATTGACACTTCTGTGTGTGCCTCTCTGTCAATTTATAATAATCAAAGACATTATTGAAAACATCAATAAGAAAATTATTATTTGTAACCAAGGACCTTCAAACATTCTCACAGCTAAAATCCTATTTACAATTGTTTGTCACCTGGACACAAAAAATACAACTTCCCCTCGTTCCACTTGGTTCCTGAACAGACCTGAAAACGTCCTGTGAAATGATGTTAATTAACAGGTGTCACTCATGTTGGTAGTTACTGCGTGAGTATTAATCTAATGTAACAACTAAGAGGTCTGAAGAAGAGAGGGGTCCCACAACTAACATGACACTTAAGGCTCCTCCAAAAGAAAGGGATCGATTTGTCTCAATTTCAGTGAAAATGAATGTGAACAAACATGAGGTGATGCTGACCTCTAGTTCTATTTTTTGTTAGAACTCTGTTTTGTCTGTCAATCTACAGTAGAATGGCTACATGGCACAGTGGAGCCTGTTTAGTAAAATGATACTCCAAATCTGTCAAAAATGGATTCCACTGGTGACGAGGACAAAATGTCCATAGAAACATTCAAGGCCATAGGGGGTGAATACTTGTTCATTTTGGGTTGAGTAGCACTTCACCAACCAGCTGTCCTTTGTGTGCTGAAACCTGAACAGAAGTTGATCTTAATTACACATTAGCCTGTTTGTCTTGTTATCGCAGGAAGCAACATAAACAAGTTGTTCATCTTCTTTACAATAATTCTACATCATTTTTTTTATTTTCTCACAATGTGTTTTGTTGAACGCTGAACGCTGTTTATCCCGACATGAAGCAGTATGTTCCTGCTGTATGCAATAGATGATGAGCTGCTTTGAAATGTCACTCTTTTGCCTAATTAACCTTGACGCCAGCAGGGCTTCTCATGTATCGTTTTTCTGCCCTTGAAAAATCCATTTAAATTGCACATTCAAATTAAACCGGAACCAAGCTGACACAGACGTAGGCATTAAGACATTTCACGCTTACATTTCTGTGTCAAATCTTCTCCGATGACGTAAAACCCAGTGTGGATTCTTTGAATCTTAGGCCTTTCTCAATGACTTTCATGAGTGACTTTTGGGACGGATGCCACTGAAGGTCCATGCAAGCCTGTGTTTTGTTATTCTATAGGTCTCGTTGACACTCACTCCATTTAACTTGTGAAGGCCCTTTGTTGTGTTGTATTCCCTGCACCTGTCCTGTCTGGTTTGCTTCATGAAAGAAGGAGGTTGTACCACTAGAGGAAATCAGCCTGTGGTTTGTCAGAGAGCTGGCTAACTGTCACCTCTCTGTATGTGGATTCAGTCAGGATGCAGGCGGTCCTTTGGGGTGTTGTCACATGACACGGCGCTGTATTCTCAGTGCAGTGCAGACATGCCCCGTAGCTCTCCTGCTGTCCATTTGAGAAGCGCATGGAGACGCTCATGTCCTTGTTGCGCTGCAAGCTTGATCCGAAATGTGCTTTGGGCTCCGACTGTGGACTTCCCCTGTAGATCCTCTGTCGCAACATCGTAGTGTCTCTGTAGAGACACTCGCGGAAGTTGGGCTTACACAGCAGGTAGACAATAGGGTTGTAGATAGTAGAAGATTTGGCAAACACGGCGGCGAAGGCGAATGCATCAGGAGGAACCAGCGTGGCGTCTCCGAAAGCAGCCCACATGGCCACGACAGCATATGGAGTCCAGGCACCCAGGAAGCCGATACATACTGCTACTGACAGCTATGGAGAAGAAACACATGCAGACACTTGTACATGGCTGCACACATACCGCAAAAACATGTAGAAGATTGATATCTCTTTTATTTAGTGGAAAAGTAAACCAATATCTATGGAGGCATCCTATTATTCCTTATTGCACGCACACACACACACACACACACACACAGATGGCTATGTACATATGTAAGTAATCAGCAAAAGCATTTTCATAACCTCAGAATAATTTAATGTCTCATATCCTGCTATCCTGCCAACTGCCAAGTCAGTCACACTAAAACGACACACTCATATCCTCTGACCTTGACGATGAGAGTGTGTGCATTGGTGGTCTTGGTCTGTGGTGTCACATGCTGCTGGACGGCCTGACGGGACCCCCGCACTGTCAGCAGAATGAAAGTGTAGGAAAGGAAAATGACGGTGCAGGGCAGTGCGTAGCAAAAAACAAAAAGGCAGACGATGTAAGACAAAGCTGAAAACTCGTGGTTCGGTGCCTGCCAGTCGATGCAGCAGGCTGTGCCGTAAGGCTCAGGGCTATAATGTCCCCACTGAGCCAAGGGCCCAACAGCAAACACGGATGCGTAACACCACACTCCAACGACCAGGAGGCGGGCGTGCGACGAGGAGAACTGGTTACCTGATCAGACAGGAGATGGAAAAAGATGCTTTGCAGCTATTGTGGTAGTTTCTTCCCCTCTCCTCAAATGAAATGCTTTGTTATGAAGTATGTTGTGTTGGCAACATCCCGCTCATCAGTTCAGTTTATCATCTACTCACCGTGGTTGGGGAAGCAGACTTTAAGGCAGCACACTAAAGAGAGGGCTGTGAGGTTGGTCAAGCTGCATAGACCAAACAGTACTCCGCACATGGCGTAGAGCTGACAGGTGATTTCTCCAAACAGCCACCTGTACACAAAGACGAGGAGGAAAGAGAAATGTGATGGATACTAGGCCTGCAACTAACAATCATTCAACAATCATTTTCACTGTCAATTCATCTGCTGATTGGTTTCTTGATGATGTCAGACGAGCAATCCAAAACCTAAATATATTTATATTACAATGATATGAAATAGAAAGGCACAACATTTTTACTATCAAATGGTTGCCAATTATAATAAGTACATTTTTCACTGACAAATTAATTTGATTCTCGAGATGGGAGAAAAAAATATAGAAAGACAAGAGTGACATGTGAAATACCGATGTGTAAAAGCCGATGGTATTGCCAATGGGAATAAAGAGAGCGTCATCCCAAGGTCACTGATGGAGAGATTGATGATGAAGAACTCAGCTGGCTTCAAGGTCGACCGCTTGTGATACGCAACAAGTAGCAGAATGCAGTTGCCCATCAGGGACAGAACACCTGTGAAACAAAAAGAGAGGGAGATTGATCTGGGCTAGACATTGCGCACCCTGTAGGGATTCGTCAGGCATGCACGGCGTCGGATCAACACAGTAGAGATGTTGTTGTTGTGTGGACTTACAAAAGACGCTGTAGAGTGAACCCATGAGGATGTCGTGCTCCTTGGAGATGGTGGAGGCAAACACAGCAGATGTGTCTGAAGCATTTCCCATCTGAAATGTTAACATTTAGCACACACACACACAAGTCAATTGTGAATAATGCAAATGATTAAAGAATTTACTCCACCGGTGTTGTAGGCTGAGTTGAAAACGCTCATGGGAGCAAATTAATTGAAATGGTAAATTAAATGCACTTTGAGAAGAGGGCCTTTCAAGTTGTCCGCCCACTCATGTCAACATTTACCACATTCACACTCGCATTCATACACTGATGGCAGAGGCTGCCATACAAAGTTTATGCCCATCCAGATAAACTGAAGCTCATTCACACACCGATGGCAATTTAGGGTTCAGTATCTCGCCCAAGGACAGTTTGACATGCAGACTGGAAGAGCCGGGGATCAAACCGCTTATCTTCTGATTAGTAGACGACCCGCTCTATCTTCTGATAGACGACCCGCTCTATCTTCTGATAGACGACCCGCTCTATCTTCTGAGCCAGTCACAACAAAAGAAAGAGAGCTAAATTACAGCTGCAAACGCAAAACCACATTTCTCCATTTTTGTTCTCAATGAATCTAAAATACTATCTACAGCACAAGACGTGTTTTCTTACTATCACTATTGTGCAATACTTTCAGCCTAAAGCTGCAGAAATTGGATGGGAAAGCTGCTTTCATTAGAATATAATCCTGTGCAAGAGACGAGGACAATCCGTATTAAATAGAAATATACAAAACATGATTGACGGATGGGATGAATTAGAAAGATTGTGCCTTTCGGGATTTACTACAGGAGTATGAGATGAGAGATTTAGAGCTTGGGACCCAAACACAACGATTAAGATAATATGGGCTCAAATTGTGACGGAGAAAAGATAGTGAAATCGCAATATTGTGTCCAGCCTTCAGATGTTTACACATGATGCAAGCAGGCCACACACGCATATATGCAATGCCAACAGATTAACTTTTAGAATAGAAACATGAGTTTTCATTCTACCGAGAGAACTGACAGACGCTCAGTGATTTCCAAGAGCTCCAACATTAACCTAATAGATTGTTAGAAGAATCGAAATAGTGTCCTCTCTGCCCCAGTCGAATCATGTCAGAAGCACTCGCGCTCTTTGCAATGAGCCATACACATACGCGAGGCAATTAGTTTCTTCTCGCTCTGCCATCTGCAAACAGGATGATGACTGCTATTCAGTACGCCACTTTGCAAGATAGAAGAATGAAAAATCAAATGGGAATCGGGGAGGAAATGCAGCGTGCAGGGACGAATGTGGAGCAATTCATGAAGTGCTATCAGAGGTGATACAGAGGCAGCGTTGACTCTCAAGGCCAATCACGCAGGATAAAGAACTAGACTTCATTACTATACAAGTCGGCATACCAGTCAATGACAAAATGTCCACTGAGATGTCGACACAACTACGCATTCTGTTATCAATAAAACAGATTTACGATCAGATTTGTTAAAGCCCAGTACACACAGTTGCCCGTTTATCAGGTTCACTTCGCTAACAATAATGCAGTCCAATAGAACAGTTTGCAGCAACAGTTTGCTCTGTCAATACTATTTTAGAAACATTTTTTTGTGGGTGCATGTTTCTTGAGTGATAAGCGTCCTGTACAAGAAACATCTGCACACTCGGATCTGTGCAAAAGATGATTTAGCTCATGCCAGCTCTTGGACAGAAAACCTCACGCCTGGAAGATTTAGAGCTTGCATTAGTCAAAATAACTTTTGCACAGATCTGAGTGTGGAGGGACACTTCCCTCTGAAGTGTGCTCGTCTTTAAGCTGCACCACATCTGAGTGAGCAGTATTTCCCAAATTTTCTTAAACCATCCCATACTCTAGTATTTAGAAAGCAGTGTTGCATTGAATCAGTATTGTTTAACAACTGAATGCATTAAAATGCCTGTCAACTATGCCTCCATCTGACTTTTTCAGTTCCGATACCTGGGCTTTGGGTTACTGACACCAGTGTTTAATTAGCTGTGTGCCATCACCTCACTGTGTGGAAGTGACTGGGATCATTCTCGCATGTGTAAGGCCCACTTAAACACTTGCTGTCGTATTTTGTAAAACAAATTGTACATAATGCAATTTAAATAAATGCATAGATGTACTGAATTGTTATTTATCAAAATATTAGTGTCCGATACCAGATCAGCCTATTGTCCCCGATAGCGATCCAGCTATCCAAACAAAACCAAGACCACCCTTAGCCACGTGAGTGTGAAAGCGAGAAGGAGGACGTAAACACGAAGAGCCGGAGAGAGCTTAACCAGCTGAACTATGACTTTGGTTTCGCTGTGACAGATTAAGTATTTTCAGAATGGCTGAGCTGTGACACTAACGTTATCATGTCTCTGAGCCGGGCTGAATAACTTTTCTGTCCAGCTGTGATTAATTGGATGCCTTTGAGACAGGGACGTTGACCTCCAGATGATGATGTAGGGTGGTAAACAACATATCGCTTGCTGACCTGGTTTATGTACTCTATTATTTAATTTGCACCTCATCCTCTCCTCCATCTGTCTCTGTGGAGACATCTTGTCTGTGTAATTTACTGGGGAAGAAATTTAAATTCATATTTGTGCAGTTTACCGCTGTTGTCAGCGTGACAAGTAATTTTGAAGGTTGTGAAAAAGCTTCCCTGCAGCATGTCATCGAAATTGTGAGATTAATTTGATGCCCCTGAAACTGGGGCTGTCTCAGAACATTTAAATGGCTGCGGTCCGAGGAGATAAGTGGCCTTTTAACGGCAGACGGGCATGTTGGGATGTCTACATGCATGAGCCTATGAGCAGTGACGATCCCAAGGTCAGAGGGTTTACCAGATTGGCAGCCAGTGGATAGCTCAATCTTTGAGTTTAAATCTGATTTTGTATGTGTGTGTGTATGCACGTATATATGTGTGTGCGTGTATGTATGTGTGTGTACATATGACATTGCCTTTCCTTCAGCCCCCTATTGTGATGTTACATTCACACCCAGCCCTCAGAGTTTGTGCCTTTATGACATTATGAATCATAAAGCATTTGTATGTCTCGTGTGTAAAGCGTCACATTGTATCTTTTATGCTTGGGTTGATTGACCTACCACGTCCCTTACGCATTTACACAGTTTTCATTGGTGCATTTCAAGGCAATAATGAACATATTTAAAAAAAAAAAAAAAAAAATGTATGCTCTTATATGTTAAACACGTGCTAACAAAGTCACTTTGCTTGCTTATTTTACATAGCTTTTTGTTTGTTTGCAACTAATAAGTTTTCCACTATAGATTAATCTGCCAATCATTTAGTCTCTAGAAAATAGAGAAACATCCTCATCACAATTTCCCAGAGCCCAGAGGGATTTCTTCGGATTGCTTGTTTTGCTCAACCAAATGTCCAAAACCCAAAGATATTTCGTTTACTATCACAAATGACAAAGAAAAACAGCAAATCTTTACTCGTTTTTTATCGGAAACGAGCAAACGTGTAGCAGTTTTGCAACAATTACTCAAACGATTTACAAAATTGCTGCTTCATTTTCCTTTGATGTGCTAATCAATTGATGGACCAATCATTGCAGCTGTAGTCCACATTTTTTTGTACTATTTGTATCATTTAGTATTTTATTAAGCGTATGATTCACTGCATTGTGCAATATTTAAAAGCAACATACATGACACACAGTGTTGCGGTGCGACACATCCCCTGAGGGCCCTGTGTGACCTTTAGTGAGATGGAAGCGGTCTAAGGACTCACCCTGCTGTGTGTAACTGCCTCCTCCTCTGAGTGACTGACAGTGACAAGTGATTGCCATCACGGTTCAATATTTACACTGTGGTATAGCAGCATGACAAAGAGCCGTTGGAGGCAACTCTTTCAAATGTTGCATGACATGTTCTTACGTAATCACCAGTGTGATCATGTGATATAAATGTCTCACTAACAGTTCACTCACACTTGTGTTTTTTGCTTTTCCTGCACCGTGTTCTTTAACATGTGGCGTTGGCTTGTTGCAAATTAGGATCTGAACTTAACAGTTAATAGACATGTTGATAATTTCCTAGAAATAAACAATTTACAATATCAACTTTAAAGTAAAGAGGAGGACTAAAAAAAGCATTACGGTTAATTGGATTGCTTTTCATACCCCGATGCTCAATAAACAATCAGAATATCATGTATAAGATGCTATAAAGTATCTGTAATTAATCAGACTTTAAAATGTTAACACAATTCTGTCACCCTAGTAAGTATCATCATCATCACTCCACCACAACTGCTTCCCCTTCGTAACACAAACGTATTACATAACCGCAGTCTGATTGAGTGTGGGAAAGAGAGCATCTCTGTGTGAATGATGGGTAAGTGTCTTGCCTCCGACAACTGTTTTCACTTTGACTTATTTGACACTGAGCTTCAGTTGAAGGTCATTCATTTAGTCATATCACGTTGCATCCACTAGAAAGACGTCGTACTCTCACTCTGGCATCATAATCGATCACTGTCAACACATATTGATTCTCTGTTGTGAGTCTCGAGTCACAAACAAATGAATCGCTCACATGTGTCTGTGCAGGTAAGAAGAAAAGGCAGTTCATGCATTCATGCACACATCCAGAAAAATACTGTGTGGTAAGCCGCCTGTGATCAAGTCGACAGGTTGTCTTGAAAACGGTCAGCACATCGACGACTACGACTAAAAGATGATGAAAAGCAGTCGCTTCTTTTCTTGTCACAGAGAGGGATGATTGGTGACCTCATCACTAATCCCGTCGGAGATCCCACAAATTGTCTGCGGTGTCTGTGCCTTAATTTCATCAGCATTACAGCCAGCACAATCCGTTTTTCACTTCCTTGAGATGGTTTTTGAACCTTGACTGAATGTCCGTCAGTAACACGTCCCTTTAACACAACCAGATGCTATCATTTCAGAGGAAGACTTGTAAGATAACAGCCACTGTGAGTCACAATAAACTAGCAGACCTTTGCACAAAAAGAAGTAAAGAAAGAAATAACAGAATAGTTATTTCTTTGAGAGTCGTGTCAGTTGCCAGCAACCATTTGAAAACAACATCAGTAAAATTTGTAAGATGAAACAAAAGGCATCATCAATTATCCCGCATTTTGTAATTGTCTAATATCTTTGTATTGCACTGGAAATAGAAAAGACACCCCCACAGCTGTGCTGCTTACCTTCCAGGGAGGAAAGGCTTGTCCTCAGTTAAACTCATGGAAGCCAGGTGGAGAGCAGGACAAAGAGAGGAGAGGAGCTTGGCCAGCTACCGTCAGGGAGACAGAGGATGAACACACACACAGAGAGGGAGACAGAGGATGAACACACACAGAGAGAGAGAGAGAGAGAGAGAGAGAGAGAGAGAGAGAGAGAGAGATCAGCATAATACTGGCGAGCTCTGAGTGTCACTGATGACTCAAAACACCACTCCCCACCCTATTTCCTCTATCCATCGCTACTTTCCCACTATACTTATCCCCTACACTTTGATTTGCTTCTATGCTTTGGATTATTCACCTTCTTTAGACATGACAATCATGCCTTTAGATGAATCCTGCATGTACGGTGGGCTTCCCCAAATCACTTTCTCACGGTTGACTCATACACGGCAACACCTATGAGCAACAGGTTTGTGTTCATACTTTTGTGTTCATAGGATTGTAAGGGTGGCAATCAGAACCTGGAGGAGAGAAAAATCTCTGTAACAATGTCATGGTGGATTTTTTTTTAAAATAATTTCAAACATTTTGATTTTCTCTCTGAATATAAAATTGAGAATATGAATATGAAAGCTAAAAGTGAGAAAAATTATGATTGTAATTTCTTATCGTGTGACTAGACAGCTTATGACTATTTTCATCAGGGTCCTAATAGTTCACAGTGAAGGAATTGAGCTGCACTGATAGTTAATGATTGGGCTCAGTGAATGTCCTGTTGCTATTGTGCTCATGGTAATTAATGATTGTTGGAATGCATTGAGAATTACAAAATGTTTGATGCATGATTTGCGACTGGAATGAGATTTCTTAGGTTATTGTTCATAATTCAATATGACAGTGCCATCCTCGTTCACACAGTCAATGCATTCCTGTTGGGAAGCATTCGAACTGCACCTGAAGCGTTGTGTCATCCTACTTTATCATACTCACCCATGCAGTTTGCCCGGAGCAGCGCCGCTCTCACACTGACAGTCATGGAAAGCTGCTTAAGGGAGTGTGGGCTCGCTCGCTGAGCCGAGCCGAGGCTGCGGCGCTGCCAGAAGGCTGCATGGAACAGTGCTGTCAAATTAATACCTCGGTTCAGGATGCTGTTCCTTCTCAGGCTCTTTTACAGATACTTAGTGTCACAGCCAGTGGTCTGCTGTAGTGTGAAGTCCCTACAATGACTTATTGGTGATGACATAGGCAGGAAATTATCAGAACTCGTGGAAATTATGAGAGATCATGTTGAATCATGAGGGCAGTCACTTTCCCTCTGATCATAAAAACATGGTGGAAGTCAATGTTTTAGGTTTGTCCAGACTAACATATCTCAACAACTATTTGATGGATTGCTATAAAACTTGGTACAGACATTCATGGTCCCCAGAGTGTGAACCCTAAAGACTTTGATAATCCCCTGACGTTCCCTCTACTCTAACCTGGAGGTTAACATGTGTGGCTTTGAATTAAGTTTCTCGACAACTATTGGATGGATTGCCAAATCATTTTGTACAGACATTCATGTCCCCCTCGGGATGATTGTAACAACTTTGGTATTAATTTGAGCCATCATCAGTTTGAATTTATCTAAAAAATGCTTTGGTTTATAATGAAATTCCTGCAAAACTAATGGCATTCTCTTCAGCTGTGTTTTGTGCTAGCAAATGATGCTAGCAGGCTAAACTAAGACCTGAACATGGTAAACACTATATCTCCGTAACATGCAGACATTTTGCAAAAAGCACAAATGTGCTTAGGAACGGCAGCGACCACGGCAAGCAGAAAACCATTTCTCCTGCCCTTGAAATTCAGTGCACTGGTGGTAGGTGAATGAATAATATGAACACAAATTATTCCAAAAATATGCCAAATTAATATGAATCAATTTTACAATATCTGTTGTCAGCAGCTGCTTTAGACTGTATGAAAAGCTTCTCCTTCAGTTCATTAAATCCCTACAGCGAAGGCAGCGACCTCTGAGTGGAGATGTGCAACAAAAGAGCTCAGTGTGTTTCGCCCGATTGAATTACATGCAAATGACACCAGGCAGCTACAAAATAAGCACACCACCTCAACATACGTGATACCTGGAGCTCATTTATCCTGTGAATCACAGCCTCCTTTCCAACTTTTTACCTGCCGCGACAGCGAGTGTTTGGTGTCTGTGGACAGATTTTGCGATCGCTATAGTGTCGCAATTGTGCAAGATACAATCACGGACCTTTACAGGTATGTATATGAGATCCGAATGAAGGTCGAGTTCGAAGATGGGCATGGTCCCGAGCAAGGGGGGCGAAGGGGCCCCACCTCTTCATGCCCCTGGCCCGATTTGGCTCCGTGGCTGGTGTGATCCCATCGCAAGATTTAAATGGTCTCTACTTCTTGAAATGCATTGTGGCAGTCTCAGTACTTTCATTTCCCACTTCCCAATTAATTTTTTGCAGAATTTCCTAATTCCTGAGTTTAGTGAAGGGGTTATACCAAACACCTGTTGCGCAGGCTGATAGAACTGGCTTCTAATTAAGAATTGAGAGCAGCTTGGTGCATTTCCCCTCTTCGCGTATCAGGGTGTGACGGCGTCCTTTCTTTAGAGCTTGAGAGAGGTGGAGAGTTGCACACCCAGGGCATTCTGATCCTTCCTCGACTTAATTACCTTATTTCAGCAGATATTTCTAGGCAGAAACTCAGGTATTTAGGCCTTTTGAGAGTTCTTTGCTGTCTTAACTTTTCTGTTTGGGGGTGATTCTGAAAACCCACTGTACGCTAAACAGCAGCCAGACAAAGAGGGCGATAAGCTGGTGAACATATTGGAGTCACTGAATGTGACTCCGTAACTGCTGGATGTGTAAATAATCAATAAGCTGTGAACTAACAGACTTCATCCCTCAAGGCTAAATTATACAGTAAAGCTTCTGGCTATAGAATTGTTCGGACTGCAATATGACTAATTGGCACTGCTGGAAATTTTGCCAGTGAATAATTTGAATGTGAATGTAGAATAATGAACGTCTTTTACAGATGAGCAAATTTTTCCCAGGTTTTTAATGTAGCAACTGTCCCCCTAATTTGGGAATAATACATTCTGCCCAAACACATGATGTGGAAAAGAGACACTGAGAAGAGAACATTTGAGGTATTGGTGAAATAACTGTCAAATCTAGTTGATTTCATATTGGTAATCTTATTTAAAACAACTTGTATCAATTACATGATCTGATAGGTCAGCAGTAACCCTTTGCATAAATAAAACTTCAGTTGACTTGATTCTGTTTTTTCGAGCTGTAGACATAGCTGTTACATCCCAAAACTTAGTTAATAAATGTAATAATGGTTGATTCAACAATAATAATTAGAGGACCACTTGACCACTTTCTTAAAAGTCATGGCATTTGTCGGGTACGAAATGATTAGAAATGCTATAATCGTAAGCAGAGGTCACAGACGGGTACTTTTGATGTACTGTTAGGTGTTTATTTTGGGCTCCAAACTTCTCACAGGTTTAGTAAAATAAAATGTCATCTAAAATCTAGTGTTACCAGAAAATACATGATTTATTGTTTTTCACTGTTATTATGGAAGTGACTGAATTTGATATGATTTGTTAGCTCTTCTTGTTGCCCTTCTATTGGTTCATCATTTAGCTCTCACATCAGGCATCAATGTCTTAGCTTCTCTGTTTTTGTAAGAGAGCGGCTGAGTTTCAAAGGAAGACAGAACAGATTGAAATGGATTCTTTGGTTTGGTTAAGGAAGCAGCAAAACTAATGAAGCAGATGTAAGATTTGCTGTGTTCTAGGTTGACGTCATTCTCACAGTGAAACACCGACTCACAAAGACTCGTAAAGACCAACAAAGCGGGCTTATCAATATCCTTTTAGAATATCAACATCTCTGTTGACACTTTTTCAAAGTAGGACGGAAGAGGACGAGATCAAGAGGCTCATTACATGAATGTTTCTATGTCAATGGGGTTCTTCTAATTTTATGGGGGATTAAACTGGATTTAAAAAACATTGCGACTCATGAAATGAACAAAGCTTGATTATTTAATCTAATTTATCGAATGATTATTTTCATAATAGTTTAAACCACCTGTTTAGGTTAATCTTTTAATCACTGAAATGCCATAAAATACATAAAGATTACCGTCAAGCTCCCAGAGCCCAAAGTAATTTGTTATCTGTAGCTTTAAAGCAACGCTTAACTGGATTAGTTTGACATTTTAATAAATACGCCTTTTGGCTTCCTATCCAAGGGTTAGGTAAGAAGATGGATACCACAAAATATGAAGTATGGCTCTAGAGCTAGGAGTCCAACATATCTTATGTTATGTTATCTTCCAACATAAATTTGGTGTTTACTCTTTCTGTCTGTCCTCCTTTTCCTGCCTGCAATTGCCGTCGCTATTATTCACCACATGTCTCGGGTTAAATAGTTTTTATACAGCAGTGGGCTCATCTCCCACATAGCTGTGAATTGAATGGTTGTTTGTCCGATATGGGGAGTGGCTGAGCAGGAACTACAGTAATGAGAACTGTGCTCAGCTGGCCTTATAGATTTATGGAGAGAGAGAATGAAATTTGGGGCTCCTGTGCTGAAGTCCCCCGTGTCTTTCTGTCTCACCTTGGCAATAAGGCAAGTTTGCAGTTTTCCTCTGGCTGTCCTCATGAAAATAATATTTTGAAGGGAGACTATAATTTATATTCTGCATGAACATAGCTTCAGTCAAGTCAAGCCTCCCTAGTCCCCAGCAGTCAACAGTATTATTGCTTCTCTATTGCTCTCTTGTGGTTTCCCCACTTCTCTGAATCAATACCTCTAACCGCTAAAGTAAAACATGACTAGTTTCTGATATGCAGGGTTAGACCAGAAGTTATTATTATAACTTTTTAAATGTATCTATCACCTGTTGTGTGACAAATCTGTAAATATACATCGTCAACATGAATAGAAATGTAAACGTGTTTATTGGATTGTCTTTATTGAAAAACCTTGAAATTCAGCTTGAAATGCTGACATATTATGTTCAGTTACAATCAGAATAGAAACGGATGCTCAAGAACTGAAATCATATAAAAACATAATATATTGTATACTTCTAGTCTAGACATAAGAAAAATCAATACAAAATCTTAAACATGTAAACATTGTTATACAACCGTTCATACAATATTCTTTGTAAGCTTTACAGAAACAGTACAGTAACACCGGTGCAGTTTGTTGCCGTTTTCGTCTTCCACAATCACTGGAGCTCTAAATAAAGGTCAATTAAAACAAAGACTGAATTTCAGCACCTTCGTGATTCAATTTCACGATTCTGTGTTATTAGTGCAGTTGGAATTAGCTGCCATTTTGTTTTCATTTTTATAGCGTAAGCTAACTAAAACCATCCTTCAGTGCAGGTTCAAAACCTTTGTATTTTACAATTCAAATAATAAGATGGGGGCTTAAGTGGACCGCCACTACACCTGAAGAGTATTTCCCCTTTTTCGTTCATTTTTAGAATCTATTGTCCATAACTCTGTATGAACTGAACTAATTCAAAGTGAAGGTGTCCCCTCGTCTCAGCTCTGGCTCCAGCTCTAAACTCTGTTGTGTTGGTTCTACCTGGGAGGTGCAGTTTCGGAGTTCGCCTCTCAGCTCAGACAGCTGCTGAGCATGACTGGAAAGAGTCCCATTGACTTGCACGAGAAGCCCATTCGATTGTCTCTCCAACTCCTCCCTGATTCTCTCCAGGTCATCTGCTAGGTAATTCAGGCCCTTGCACTGGTCTTCCACACTGGTAACACGCCCTCCAACCTCAATAACTTCTTTCTGGACCCCCATTGCTGTGCTCCGGCAGCCCCGGACCTCCTCAGCTAGCCGCCTCTTCATCTCCTGCAGCTCACCTTTAACCCGGGTCAGTCTGCGTTCACCTGCACCAAGCATGGAAGCCTGATGTCCAACCAGCTGCACCACACCCTTTATCTGCTGGGCCAGACGAGCCTCTCTCTCATGCCAGGAGCTGTTGGCTTGGCCCACCTGATGAACCACTGTCCCCAGGGAATCCTGGAGGCCTTTGAGGGTATGGTTGACTGAGCGGACATTGAACTTGAGGATTGTGAGCTCTCCCTGGATGGGATAATCTCCCTCTGCTTGTTCCTGCTGGTCCCTGGAGGTCAGACACTTCTGGATGTTCTGCAGCGTAACATTGAGGCTATTCAAACGGTCACCTTGCTTGTTGAGTTCATCCTTCACATTCTGCTCCTCTGCCAGGTTGGCACTTGGTGCCGCTGAGTCTCCTTGGACGGCAGATGGGTTTTGAGGTGAGGAACAGGAAGAAGAGCAGAGAATCTCAAGGCTGCTCAGGTGTTTCTGAACTCTGTCCACATCTATCTCTAGTCTCCCTCTGAGAGACTCCAGCTCTGTCTCCAGAGTGGGAACAGAATGACCCTCCAGCAGTGCGGGAGCAGTGGCATTACCCAGCTCCTCCAAAGCCGTCAGTAAACGGCCTTCCAGAGCCCTCAGCTTACCATCCATTATTGCTTCCACCCCTGGTCCTGTCCCCACTCTGTCTGGGACACCACTCCCCCTTCCAGACTCATCAATGTTAATCTCCCCTGTCAGGTTGAGCTTGGCCTCTACATACCCTAGACGCCCCTCCAGCATTCCCTCTATGTGGTCCTTGTGTCCACCTAGCTCCAGTCTCAGGTGCCCCTGGGATTGGTTGAGGCCTGCTATGGATGTTTCCAGCATTTGTACCCTTTCAACCAGTCCACTCACTCTACCAGAACAGCTCTCTGTTGCTTTTAAACCATGGAGCTGTGCTTGGAGGTTTCTCAGCTCTGTTCTCAAGTCTGTGTTACTCTCCTCCAGAGCGTCCTCCATCTGCTCCTGCCTCTTATTTTGCTCCTTCTGGCACTGAAGACGCAAATCCCCAGCTTTGTCCTCGCATCGCCCCTCTGCACTCTCCACCCGTTTCTCAAACCCACCAATAATTTCTGTCCTGGCTACACTCAGCTTTGCGTCCATTAAGTTCTCCATAGCTTTCTGCGCATTTTCCCCAAGATTTCCGTTGGAGTCTGATACCACCCCAGCTCTATTTGACATCTTCTTCAGTGCTCCATCGTGTCCTGTCACTGTTGCTTTGAGTTCCTGCAGCTCTGCTGTCTTGGCTTGCAGCCCTGTCCTGAGCTCTTCTACCCTTCCATTCAGTTCTGTGAGTCCTGGAAACACGTGTCTGCCATCTAGACCCTCTGTCTCAGGGTCGCCCCCTGGAATCTCTACAAACCCTACACTGGATGGACCAGAGGCTACAACAGGAACGGGACCAGGGGCAGCAGAGAGAAGAGCTGACAGCATCCTGTTGGCATCCTCTCTCAGCGAGGCTCGTAGACTATCTTCCAGTCCATTCACGATTCCCCTCAGGGTTTCCAGGCCCTGGTTTAGACGTTGCACATCCTCCTCCATTCGATATATTCGCTCCTCTGTCTCACTGTCCAGAGCCTGGCCTGAAGAGAGAAAGAAAAGCTGTTAACATTGGGACAAACATGATACACTTTGTGCTTTAGTGTGATTTGAATCCAGGTCAAAACGATGATGTTAAGTCAGGATTTCAGAGCCCACGATGAAAAGTGTGAGTATGCTTATTTTTGTCACTATCCAGTACCAACAATGCGCTACATAGTCAAACCCAGTTAGATCAAGTATGTAGTTTAGAATTTGGACACGCCTATGGTCTCACCTTCAGGCTGTTCACCATCAGAGGAAGCAGGAGGGATTTCCTCTGGTATGTGTTCCTCAGGTCCTTGGCTTTGTTCATGATCATGCTCATGTTCTTGGTCGTGCTCTGTGTGATGTGGTTCCTGGTGCTCTGGCATTGGCTCCGGCTCGGATGGATAAGGCTCAAAGGAGGTGTCTGGGAAGGAGGAGGTCCTCGGAGGTCCAAAGTAGCGCATTGGGTAGGAGTTAAAACTGCCTGTGGGAGGTCCTTTGGGTCGACTCCATGGGTTGGCCTTCACAACAGTGTTAATAGGTGGGCCCTTGAACATGGGACCCTTGAACATGGGAACTTTGTACTGTGGGCCCTTAAACTGTGGGCCTTTCATCGGTTGGCCCTTGAATGGTGGCATCCTTTTCATGGGGTGTTGGTAAACTGGATGTCCCTCCATACAGCCATAACCAGAGTACCCAGGACAACAACGCCACTCCAGCTCTGTGACTGTTTTATGTGCCACCTTGTACATTGGTTTGTACATCAGACGATACCTGAGGGAAACAACCATCAATCAGAAAAGTACGCTTGACTGTGGTATTTCTCTACCCTGAAGTGATATAAATCCCATTTTCTTAAATATCAACATGACATAATATAAGCCATTATTTACTCACTGTAGAGTTGGACATTTTTGACCCCAGGAGCACTTGTTGTATTCAGCTTTTACATATGGGGCTGCCCCATCCTGCACGGTGAAGGACACTGTCTTTTCAACCACATAGGCGCAGTGGTTCCTTTCAGAGAGGAGATAAAAGATGACAGAATAGAGGTGAGACAAATAAATATGATTTCTAGTTGGCTTTAGAAAAACAAAGTTTTGTCACTCAAAGTAAAATGTAAGTTAAGATCATAAGTGATATGGACTTGATTCCTAAGAGCATAAGACAGAGAGAGAGAGAAACAGAACTTACTTGTGTCTGCTGGTGGCTTTCCCTTGGTCATGGTGGTGATTGAACCCAGCTTTATACTGGTTAAATTGGAGTGGTCTGTAGAACTTGGTTTCGACCAGTGACAAAAATAGAGTAATGAACACAAAAGGACTCACAGCCATCACAAAATGCATCCTTGAATATCCTCGTGTTGAAAGTCAAAAATGGGTAAAAGTCCTCAAACTGAGGTAAAGGTGATCTCACAGAATATAAAAGCAATACCCTAAATATTCCACTCCATTCACTTCATATGGAAATTATTGAATTGTAGGGCTTCCGACAAAAGAAGATATCTCAAAACGCACAAACTCAGAGAGAAGGCTACAAAATTGACATGAGAAAAAGACTTGAGTCTCTGCAGTACAACCCTTTTCTGGCTGTGCTATAAAGCAGAATGCCCTGTGAATGTTGACCCTGACGCTGGCTGTGGGTGTGGTGGACTCTGTTAGAGTGACAACAGTCCACTGTGAGTTTGGTGGACTACAGACGCCACTAATAGGGCCCCACTGCCACCATCTGCATATCTCCACCCACTCAACCTCCTTAAAGTAACATCAGGGTGACAGTGAAAGAGGGGAGAGAGCCCTCACCTTCACAGTTAGTGTTATTGACGGTATTCTGTAGTACTCAACTTTACACAAAATGTTGTTTTTATTATTCAGCTAGTTTGAAGGCTGCCTTCCACTCATCAGGGCAGAGGCTAAAGTACCATGAGCTATTTTCCCATGGTGACATCATGGCAAACCAGAGGTACAACACCAGACCTGTCCCTTTTTTTTTTTACATTTTAGGGTAATAGCAGAAATTAATTATCCAAGCTGACAAGTGGACATATTCCGCAATTATTAATTTGTTCTTTAGAGTATGAAGAAGACTTACTCTGTATTGTGTATGATCCTTCACAATATAACATTAACCCTGACCATGTCCATCTTACTTTTGCAGAACACAGTGTGCAGTGGTGGGAGAAGAATTCAGATCTTTAACTTAAGTATCATTATCAAAGGGTAGAAATACTAGTTCCAAGTAGAAGTCCTATATTTAAAAAGAAAGTACACAAGTTATACTTAAAGTACCAATAATAAACATACTTGTGCTTTTTTAATATATTAATGGAATATAATTATTGATGCATCTGTGTGTAAGCATTACTAATATTGCAGCTGGTAAAGGTGGGGCTTCTTTTGTACTTTACTATCTTATATACTGCCGGGTACCTTAATCTATAACGATACATCATAATTTATCAGTTAATTATCTGAATCTCCAAAGTAACTAACAACTAAAGCTATGAAATGAATGTAGGGGAGTAAAAAGTACAATCGATGCCTCCAAATTGTAGAAGGCAGCATGAAATTGTAATACTCAAATTAAGCACAAGCACATCAAAATTGTAGTACAGTAGTATAGTATACACGAAATATATAATATTGTGTGGGATCTGTATGGAGATCTTTCTTAAAGCTAGAATGACTGTTCTGTGATGATATTCTTGAGGTTGTCTCTAAAGGGAAATGTGGGAAACATCTTGGTCTCTTTTACTTCACACATAGACACAGTTTATACCCCGACCTAACAGCAAACCTCCAGGACTGGGAACAAATAAAAACAAATGCCCTGTGTCGAAGGCTGTGGCAGTGCACACCCATGCCTGAGTGCTTTGCCCCACAAGCCCACACATTCATTTACAACACTAGTCTCTGTACAGTTGAAAAACTTCACCGCCCTGCTCCACTGTACCACAAACGGAACACTTTCCACTAAAAGGCCATGCTAGATGGAGACACATTTTGGCTGCTTGCATCCATTATAACAATTTTCCAACAAAGCCCAGTGAAATAAGTAATTTACAGAATCAGCTTTTGGAGGGCAAACTGAACACTCTTGTGAATACAATCAAAGCCTCCAAATTAAGCTTGTACAAGTTTTAAGTATTAAGTTTTTCACAACTTTAAGCATTTTCTGTTAGCCTTAAAGTTAATTAGACTACGCTCTCCCTATAGGAAAACAATAACACAGCCGGCACACAGTGATTTTACTATTGATCATGTGTGGGAGGATTAGGATTTGTTAGGAGTTCCATTTCCTCTCTAAACTTCTTAGATGGTTTCATTTAAATAAGTCCCAATGAAGTCAAATTATCCAATATTTATAAAAACATAAAAATGAAAACAGATTTGTGTAAATTAATTATTTTTTTTGCTGTGAACATTGTAACATGATCTCATTTTGAACAAGAGTAACACTGTGTCCGGTATTTTGCAGGGATCTTTTGATTGACCCCTTTTTAGAAGCCGGCCCATTTCCTGTATCCTGTTTGTACCAGGTCCCACCTCTTTCACCTGGAAACACCCTGTTTAGTGTAGATGCACAACAGTGTGTGTGTTTGTGTGTGTTGCATATTCTCCGTGAGCTCTTTTACTCTCCCGATTTGTAAACAAGCTCTCATTGTATCATATGAAGCATGTTGCAGAGCACACAGCATCCAGGCTCTGACTAGTGCTGTGAAACAAGTGCAGCTTTATTCTGCAGGCTGGTTGCGGCTCCACCCGGAGTTTTCCTTGAACGTCATCACACAGTTACAGCTGTTTTAGCTTCCACTCACCTGCCCTTCTTAACGCATACGTCAGGCTGAAGCTGTTCATGGACTTCTTGACATCGCCACATTATAGACAGGGTGAGGCCAAACTTGCCTGCATGGAAAAACAAAGTGCAACACTATCTCTGAAAGTCTGAGCAGCATGTGGGTATTTGTGTTTATCCCTTTCCCTATTTCTTTGTGTCTATTTAGTTTTAACACCAGCGGTCCAAATTCTGAGCTGGGCTGTAAATCTCCTAATGTGTGTCTTTAGTTTTCAACGAAGTCGGTGCGTAACTGGACTGTGTGTTTGGCAGTGCTTTCCCAACAGTGCTGGCTCATGTAATATTTGCATTTTCAGTATTTGTTTAAACTGGCATCAAATAATTGAGCAGGAGCATGATCCACAGAGTATGAAAGGTCTATACATTTTTTATAGTTTCTTAATGCACTGAAGTAAGCCTGATAAAACCTTATTCTGAACACTGTATTTCCTGCCAGCTTGTTGTACTAGTTTGTGAATACTGCATGTTAATATATCAATGGCTGTAACTTGACAGGGAGCAATGCATAATGCAATCACGTGTGAAACTTAGAAAATAGTCCAAGCAGCTTTTATTCATCACATTAACTGTTTACGTTTAAGAGATATTGTTGCAAATGCAGGTTTAGAAATTGCTGTGTCTAACTTGCAGGGCTGTTTGTTGTAGAGTGGCCTATATCCGCTCTTGTATGTTCACAGCCATGTAACAGAACAAACAAGAGTAATTGGTCTCGACACTTCACAAACCTCAACCTTGTTTCCTGTGGAGGTGCACCCAGTTGCGTGCTTTTCCTTTTTCATTTTGGCCTCTTTCTGTAAGATTCTTCTGTTTAAAGTTTACGTTGTCGAGTTGCCAATTTTTTCTCTTGGTTCTTGTGGAAAAAGATTAATTCGGAGGCGTCACTATCTGAAGAATTTAGTCATTAAATGAGCCAAATGTGGTGGCCTGAACAAACATAATTTGGGGGCCACATGGGAAGCAAGAGGTCACGGCACACTTCACACCTCAGCCAAGAAGTTCAGTGTGTTTGCTGTTGCCATTCTCAAAGCAGTGAGTACACATCTGGAGACAGCCAACACACGCACGCACACACACACACACGCACACACACTTTGTAAGGATATTCAGCTCTACAGAAAACCTTTTTCTTATAAAATTAGCTTTCATATACTTTTTACGAACCCTTGTGTCGTAGAATTGCATTGAAATTCCTTCCACATAGAGAGAGATAGATACCAAAATGGTAGTTGTGATACTGGAGGTTCTGTAGCATTTGATCAGCTTTTTGATCTATTACTGTAATATACTATATAACTGTACAGTCAGCTGTCCATCTGTTAGTTTCAATCGATGGTGGAAGATGTATTCTGTGTTTCTACTAATGTAAAATTAGCAATACAGTATAAAAATACTCTGTTAAATGTAAAAGTCCTGCATGGAATGTCTTGCTTTTATTTAAAGTACAAAAGTATTGACATCAAACTGTACTTCTAAGTTAAAGTACTCATTATGCAGAATGGGATGCATTAATGGCTTTATCACTTTTATGTAGCAGCTGGCAAAGGTGGGGATAAATCAAACTATTTTACATACAGCTGGGTATCTTAATCCATAATAATACATCATTATTTATTCGTTAATTTTTGTATTAATAATCTGAATCTGCAAAATAATTAGTAACGAAGGCTATCAAATAAACATAGTAGTGAAATAAATATAGGGTAAAAGTACAATATTTACCTATAATGGCATTAAATGGAAAAATACTCATGTCAAATGTACAAGTATCTCAAAATTGTACTTAACTACAATAGTTGAGTTATTGTATTAATTTACTTCCCTTCACTGTTTTCAAAGCATGAAACAAATAGCAGCAGTATAATGAAAATGGGGTTACATCAGTTTCAGTTGCCAATATACTAGCAAGTAATGTAGCAGTGCAACAAACACTGAACAAGATGTGCCGTTCTTGACTGCAGTAGAAGATACTTAAAAAACAAAATGGTACATCTTATATGCTTTTTTCAGTAGTTTTTATATCATTTGGATTTATTTGAAGGAATACAGTATTTAATGTGTTAAAGTATATTTCTGCCTTTGTAAATATAATATTGAACATAGTCAGATATTGCTCAGTACTATTAGACAGTACAACGTCTCTCTGTCACCAGAATAAGACTGCCCCCTTGTGTTGACTGCTGGTTTAGACGTTAAGAGGAGAAGCAGCCGCCTCAGTTTCTCTCTCCTAAATGCTCTGACTTTGTTCTTTGTTGTTCAGTGTACACATATGGGTAGACTTATTGCTAACTAAGAAACTATTAACTCTGCCTTGTGCCTGTAATGTTACTGTACAGTATGTTTAATGTTTGGACTGTTAATAATACACTGGGCATGACCATAAAAACAATAGAAATAAGATGCAGTATTTGAAGTATTTCTATGGTAAAAACAATTGTTGGAAAATAATTCCTTTGTTAAACAGCTCAGTGTAAACCTCAAAGTATACTATTAA